GCGGTGCAATAGGTCCCTATTTAAAAAAAAAACTCATTAAGGAGGGGGATCCCCGCCCAAACCCGCCCCCCTCCTCAGGCATACAAGCTCAAGCCCCCCTGTCGAACAGCTTAGCGTGCCCCCCTACCCCCAGAAAATGTATACTAGAGCCACCACTGCACCACAACCCCAGTAGATATGCCACTGTTGGGAAAGTGTACATCAGGTTTGGTGTTATCCAGTGGCAGTTTTCAGACATTTCTTGACAGAGGGTACTCAAAACCAACAAACTAGGCCTGGGTCCTGAAATAAAATCCCTAGTGGGATTCATGGGGAGGGATTTTATGGCTCGGGATGGTTCAAAATAGAGCATTAACACTACAATATTAGAGTGTAACAATCACAATAACCCTGTGCACATCAGAAATTAATTTTTTTAGTCTGATGACCTTGTTGTGGCGTCGAACCATGGGGTTGGAGGTTCATGCTTTTCCGACCCTGACCCCAAGGTTGAGCCACCACTCTTTGTTATGACTTTAACTACTCATTCAATTTGAGATGCTATATTTATACTAGGTCTTATTTATACTTATAATAACACTACTCACACTATCTCATCATGAACATTTGATGTCATGGGGTAGCTGAACCTTTTCAGTCATTGAACTTGATCACTATTGATTCATTGTGCTGTGTATGTATTTCAACTGGTCTATACAGTATAACAATGCATATATAAAATATAGTCAAGACTATTTTATGAAGCTCTCTTTCTGAGAACTGTTTTCCTTTAGCGTTTTTAAGAATGAAGACTTACCGAATGTAAAATTTAGGGCAACACCACGCATCTGAGCACAAATATCGCACCTCAAACTGCCTTCTACCAGCGGCTTAGAAATTAACATTACCCAAGCAGGAGTGATGCTTAATGCAGGCAAAACCGCCATCGGCAGACTGGTGAACACGAGCAATTTTCGCACCTTCAGCATCCGGCGAAAGTAGGAATTAGAGACGAGTCCGACAAGCCCGGCATTCAATGCTATGGCCATCGCTCCTGCATTGTACGGCCAACTGAAATACACAATTTTCGAATAGATAGAAAATATTTGATAATTCTGAGAAGCTTCAACATCACATCCTGAATTACTAGTTAATAACATGCTCAATATTCTTATTCAGTATTTTATAATGGCCTATATAAAATTAAATAAATAAATAAGGCCATATTAATTTAATTGTTTGTCTCAAAGCTCTCTTTTTTAAAATAAAAAAAATAAAAATTAACTTTTTTCTAAAAATATTTTTATTGCTGAAGTGGGTTTTAAAAGATCCCTTACAGGACTCTCTTTACTTTAGAATTACAGTATAGTGCATCAACACACAATATGTTGCAGGCTATTAAAGGAGGTTACAATTTGACATTACTTGTTTGAAAAAAAAGTGTTTCTACTATCTAACACGCATGAATTTCCTAATGCGCGTGAGCTTTGAGACAAATAATCAGGCCTGCAGAAAACATTTGCTCCGACCATGAAAGTTTTCTTGATCAAAAGCCTCCAGGACCAAATGTTATCTTTACACTATTATTATGTATTAAATTGTGATTTGTAAAAAAAAAAAAAAAAAAAAAAAATTCTAAAATGCTAATTTCCAGCCTTGCAAACAATTAAACTAATATGGCCTGGGTTTGATGATACCAATATGACTTCTAATACATACCAAATTTCATTATTTATAATGTTATGAATATCAATTCTTGAATTCATAACCAAAAAAACTATTTTATTTCATTTATTTAGCCAAGGACAACAAATAGCTGTTCCATAGATAGGTGGCAATCCCTTCACATGACAAACATATACACATGATGCTCTATATAAATTAAGTCTTATGAGTTGGAGTTGTATTGTCGTGATAAAATATCCTGGAATTTGACAAGATTTGAACCAAGGACCCTGGATTTTGAAGGCGAGCATCTTAAGCACTAATCAATTTAACTCCACCCCAAATACTGGTAAAGATAATAAAACATTAAAAACTTAAACTCTTCTTAGATGAATACAGTCAAGGGTAGATCTAAAGATGTTCCAAAGGAAGGGGGAGGACGAAAGTGGGTCTCTTATACACGGGGGGGGGGGGGGCGGCGTCAGCATTCCCCGCAAAATGTTTGTTATGATGATTCATGATGATTCATTCATTGGTTTTTGAATAATCTGCCAACAGACAAAGATGAACACATAACCTCCATAGCAGAGGTATTAATCAGCGATTATTAAAAAGTAAAGCAAATAAATAACATTAATAAATTCATAGCAGAGGTATTAATCAGCGATTATTAAAAAGTAAAGCAAATAAATAACATTAATAAATTCATTTTCCAACCTACCCTTCCCCATTCTCCAATTTCTGCAGTTTCGATATGGTTCTTTCAAACTGCGGAATAGGCTCTCTGGGTCGTAATTCATTTATCATGGCTATCTCTTTCTACCCACTTTCTAGGCCTACAACAGAGCAAAAATTTTGTAACACATTAGTACATTATCAGAAAAGAGAGATTTTATTGTAATTTTGTATTTAAGTCATCTAAATGATCCTGATGAATTATAATTGCACTCAAGGGCGCAAGTCTGTTTTGAAAGGTGGGGGGTGGGGGAAATATTTTGTGAGTCCCCACCCACCTCAGGCCCACCATGGTTAGAGCTTAGGTACAAAAATTTGAGGAAGTTTTACCTAGATGGCCAGAAATCATCATCATCATCACATCACCATTGTAGTAAAAATGAAGCGCCAACAAATTCTCATGATCCTTTATTAGCGATTTTCAGCATCCATAGAGATCTAATAATAATGTATGATGTACTATAGAAAATAAAACTTCAAAAATTTAGGTGTATTCAACTGGTCTGTTTTGAGCAGCTCTTTCTACTCAAACTGCAAATCTCGTATTTGTCTGGTCGCACAAGCAGCACGAACTTCTCACAAGAATTTGGGGAAATAGTATCTAGATTGCTGAAAATGACATTCTTAAATGTAGTAAAATTCATTATCATCGATCTAATTAATCACTGTGATGTACCATAGAAAATAAAATTGAATTGTCTTTGATGTATACTTTACTTTACCTAGTTCATGTGCAGAAAACCAATCTTATCTTTACATGCTTTTTCTCATACATGTACATCTCAAATTATAATAAAGGCACGCGCACTCGTGTCATGTACAGTATTATAGGTTTCAGGTGTTTGTCGGCAGAGGTACCAGTATCCTACTATAAAGTAAAATGCACTCTAGTAGCATTCGTTAAAACCTGGGTCATTTATGCAGATGAAATTACATTGCGGATAAAAAGTCAGGGGGACCACCCCCCCTCCCTTAAAAAAATGTGGGAGGGGACATGTCATTTTTATAAGCGCTTTTCTATGCTTCTGCAGTACTACATACTACTACAGTACTTGGGATGAGAATTACAGGGTTCCATCCAAATCTCTTGCAAGTGGACGAGTCTCCTGGAATTCGAGATGGCCTTCAGCACTCCCACAAGCAATATTAATCTCCAGGTAAATAACCCTTCATCCACAAAAATTAATTTTTTTTTTACCACTTTATTTAATTTTTCAAGTCAGTGGCTATAGGCCTGTAACCATGCACAGAAAATTAATTTAGATAGGTTAAGAAAGTTCATTTAAGTTGATGTCCAGGAAGTGATTTCTTCCAACTTGGAGTGTCTGGGCTATATAATCAGTGGTAGATTCAACGAGGTAGACGACAAGGGCTAGGCCCTGTCTCTTATACACATCTAGTTGTGGATAAGAGACAGACATTTTACTATTTAGACTAAAGAAAATTACATATTGAAATTTAAGCCTGAAAGTGCCATTTCTGCTTGTCTAGAGGTAACATAATCATAAATTTCCTTACATCATCCCCAACCAAGGTGAGGTTGAGGTGGTGTAGACCCTTCAGCTGTGAAAGTACCTCCCTGGCCCCCACCGACTCTACTCTATATTTCAAAATTCCTAGATCCGCCACTGATAATTAGGCCTCCTGGCCCTATAATAATAATTATACTACAACCATGATTCTATAAAAAAGTTTGGCTTGCTACACTTTACTGTAGTATATGTCCCACCAGATGGTAATAAAACAATAGCAGCGGAGAAAATTGCTGTTTCAGTTCATGGAACACAGACCTCATCACCGAACTGGCCCAGTTTTTCATCGTGGGTTTCAACCAGTCTAGACTGAGTAATGTTTCAAACTTGTAGTATGTTACCTGTCCCACCAGGGAGACAGCACAATTGATCTATGTTATGGCAACATAACTGATGCATAAAAGTAAATTAGTAAGCCTAGTTTAGGGGCATCTGATCATGATGTTGTTTAATTGTTGCCTATGTATGAACAAACTAAAAAATGGTAATATCGAATCAAATTTTATAAAAGTATGGTCTAAAGAAAATATTGATAACTTCCAGGGCTGTTTGGAAGTAACCGACTGGGAATTGCTTCTCTCTTCCTCAGATTGTTTAGATACGAAAACTTAATTTGTTAATTCTTACATTAAATTTTGTCAAGACACTGTAATCCCTAAAATGCTTGTAAAAAGTTTATCAAATTACAAACCATGGATAACTATGCAATTAAAGTAACATTAAATCAGAAGACGGCAGAATTCCTGTCAAATGATAAGGATAAGTTAAAGGAATAAAAAATTAAAGTAAATCACTTACATACTTCTTGAAAAAGGAAGGAGCCGTGCTTTAAAAATAAGCTTGAAACAAATCTTAAACAAAACCAAACACAGAAAGCTTGGAATAGAATCTCTTAATCATTTTTATAAGCGCTTTGATAATCATAACTTTATTAATAACCTAGATGAATTCAACCAATACCTTACAGCAACTGATGTAATAAATATCGAAGAGGAAGGTGTCATCAAACTTGTTTCATAGAATTAAAGCTCATAAACCTGCAGGCCCAGACAATATAAATAGTAAACTGCTTAAAGATTGCGCTGTTCGACTTGGGCCTATATATACTGTATTAGTATCTTTCCAATTAGATGAATTCAACCAATACCTTACAGCAACTGATGTAATAAATATCGAAGAGGAAGGTGTCATCAAACTTGTTTCATAGAATTAAAGCTCATAAAGCTGCAGGCCCAGACAATATAAATAGTAAACTGCTTAAATATTGCGCTGTTCAACTTGGGCCTATATATACTGTATTAGTATCTTTCCAATTAATCTGTTGACAACCATGTTATCCCATCAATTTGGAAACATGCAAGTATTATCCCTGTTCAAAAACAATTACCCTGACTCACTTAATGCACAAACATCTAAATGTTTTAGGTACAGCTACAGTATGTTGTTTTATTATACCAAACTTTGTTTTTATGTTACCTGTCCAACCAGAGGAGACAGTACAATTGATCTATGTTCACTATAACAATTCCCTGGTTACGGTAACATACCTGATCCCTGATGCATGTAAGTCAATACCGTACTGACATGCAACATCTCCGTGTCAGTAATTTGAAGATTGATAAGGGCTAGGCCTAGGCTAGCCTCTAGCCTAGGAGGATAAGCCCCTACGCCGCGTCTATAAAGTTTCACTAGCTAGGCCTAGGCCAAGTCAAATGTTATGAATCACATACAAATTGTACGTAATAGTAGAAAAAAAAACGCGCTACATTTTACTTGTTATACTGACCGCTGCATAAAGGTACAGTAAATTTAATAGACCAAATGAAAATCGCTACAAACAACAGGCATGACTTTCTTTTCCGAGAGGAGAGAAGCACGCCCTCAACAGTATGTCTATAGACACTTAAAGCTAATGTAAAGTTATAGAATGATGAATATGTAGTCAAGAGTAAAACTCAGTGTAAATAGTCATTGGGGTAAAGATAAACATTGGCGGCGAAATTTAAATAGATACGTAGCAAGTAGGCCTAGCCTACGGTTTGTTTGTGTATTATTAATAATGTTTACTTATTTAATTGACTGTTAGGCTAGTTTAAATAATATTGGATCAGTAATATTTATTTACTTTAATATTTATTTTTGTCTTACTCGTAACTTTATGCATACTCATTAAATTGCCTACCTAAAACTAGGCCTAGCCCTAGTAGTAGCCTACCCAGCCTCTCAGACTCTAGCTAGGCTCTAGGCTAGCCTTAGGCTAGTAGCCTAGTTACAGTACTACTAGTAGCAGGCCTAGTTAGATAGTAGCATGGAGGTATGAAACTTGAAAGGAACTGTAGCTAATGTTTTTGTGTTTAGGCGTACCTAGGCATATGCAGTAATGTTGTGTACATTCACCCCATAAAAACATAGGACCCCCCACTTTTTGCCAGAGAATTATAATATAATGTCTGGAGATTTGTGTATGATTGGCCCAAAGAAATGCTGGAAAAGATAGATGGAAGAAGGAGGAGAGGGAGGGGAAAGAGAGTGTTTATCCAGTCCCCGTCCGATTTACATTTTATCGCAATTCACATTGGTGGGCTTTCTCTTTGGGGTTTTTCAATTCATTGAAAAAAGAATATGTATGCCACTACTCATTTTTTTTTCAAATGTATGTATACACATACAACAGGCCTATTTACTGTAATAAGAACGAGACCGTTTTCAAGAGGGGGAAAACCTTGATTTTTGAAAACTTAAAATTCATTAAAAGACACCTAGCTCAAAAGTCGGGAAAGCTCATTTCCCGCCATCTATGAATCAAATTAGGTTTTTGAAATATTTTGATCCCACCCCTAAATTTGTATCCAGATCCCCCTGATTCATATTCTTGTTCATCTTATTCTTACTAGTGGGCACCACCCCCACTTTGAAAAATGTTCTGCTGGCCCTTCATGACTTATAGTACTTGTTAGGTCCTTCATCATTTAGTACTTACTTATTTAATCCTCTTCAAGCTCATAAGCACATAAGGCAGCAACAAATGATTTCCATTGTCCTCTATCCTGGGCCATCCATGATATTTCATTGATTGTTTTTGACATCTGTTTTCTTTCTTCTTCCACTGTTCGTCTCTATGCCCACTTCGGCATTCCTCTTTTTCTTTTCCCCATTGGTTTTCATCTTTCTGCCTGTCTTGGATGACGATCATTTTTCAGTCTAAGCACATCACTGTGTGCACGAAAGCTTGTGTACTGTCATAAATAAACTAGTCATAAAAGTACTGAATATCCTGAGTTTTATTTTCTATTATATATTAGACTAGTACGGCTTATCTATTTTTCACATTATTTAGATTAGCAAACATTTAAAATGGAAAACTATTATTGAAACTGAAACCCCTTTCACACCGAGCTGCAATACGGTATTAATACCGTTTTTCGCGTTTTTCGCCGGCGTTCTATGCGAAAGGGTTAAATATGCCTAAACGCCGGCTTCAGTTAGACCTCCTCGGGACCTAGTATAATTGAATTTTCTACCAAAATAATTAGGGTAGCCTCTAGTCTTAGGGAGTGCCTCAAGTACTGTATAATGTCAATTTAATTACTCATAATCATTATATAATGGTATGCAAATCAAGGTTAATATTACTATAAATATATATTTTTTGGGAACTTGGAGGAAACCATACAGTAAATATATTTATATATTTTTTTGGAACTTGGAAGACAAGTTAATTTACAGTAGAACCTAGAAGTATTGCAGAACATATATTTTTGATCATCCTCATCCTTTAAAAAAAGGCGCTAAGGGCTATCCCCAATGGCCAGTTAACTAGTTGTAGTACCATTTGCCAAAGGTATACATTGAAGGAATGTAAACATTCCAATGCTCAAGAAAGAGCAAGGATCAATGAAGTGATTAAAATAATGTATGATCCTCTGATGTAAGTATTGATTTATTCATCACAGAGTAATGATGGCTGGTACGATGTTCAATTTTGAAGTGATCTACAACAGTATCAAAGATTCGCAATATGGTCTGTATAATTTTATTATTTTTTTAGTATTGTTTATAATTCATAATTCAATTGTTGGAAACTTTATTTTACAAAAAGTAGGGTATGATATTATTTTTCTCTGCACCTAATCCTCCTCTTCCCTTTAAAGAATTTTATTTTGTTCAAGTATAAAACACATTACAAAAGCAGAAAAAGTCTGAAATTATTGCATTACAGTACAATAAAAAACAAGCATTCACTGAAAACATTTAAATACAGTATACTAGAAAGAAAAAAACAATACCCAAAGTTTTGCAAAGAAAAAACAAAACATTTTAGTATTATTCACTGGCAGTTGTTTTATGGTATAGTATGAACAAAACATTTTCTGAAATTTGAATTGATTCTTGAAAATTGACAGAAGTGTGATCCCTACTCCCCGAACTTGAGACATTTTGAAACCTCAAAACACTACCCACCTCAAAAAATTGTATTCAATATTTAATTATTTAAAAAACAATAAAGTGCATATACTGTAATGGCCATTTGCTGACAAATCTGTCTCCGCTGTCTGTGGTTGCTTTACACCATGATACCATCTGCTCGGTAGCAGTCTGAGTGGATTCTTGTTAAAAATTACCCATTGCATGCATCTCCTCTCATTGCATTCTCTTTTGAATTTTTAGTGTATTTTCTGTATAGTGGTTTTACTGATAGAAAAAATTCAAATTCAATGCTTATGTTACATGTATTTAAATTATTCTTTTAAGTTTTATGAATTTATTTTTATTAGAAAAAACAAGGAATGAGAAGAGATTGTCAGAAGCCAAACAGAGCAGGATAAATTTGGAACGCAAATATGAAGCTGGTAGGAAAGTTTTGGCCAGTCCAGACTATAGAATTTTATTTTTATTTTCTATTTTTCAAACATGTGAGATGCCTAAATAAGGTCAGGATGTTATGCGATGTATTTTTGTGCTGCAGTGTGTCAGCAAAACATTTTTAACAGTTAACTTGAACTTTTGAGATATAGGCACATCATGACTATATATGGGCACATCAAGACTATACATGGGCACATCATGACTATATATGGGCACATCATGACGATATATGGACATACAACAGTTTTTGTCAAAGAAAATTGGATATTCTTGACAGAGCCTTTAAAAACAATACTTCTCTTAATGCAATAAATTAAATAAAAACCTTGACATCTGCCCTCCAGGAAAAGACATAAAATTTCTAGGTTTTTTTTCCCCACAAGATTAGATAATTCAATCAATAGAAAAATCTCAATCTATTTTTGCTCCGTACATTTCCGATGTTACTGATTGGTTTTTTCTTTCTTTCTGTCTTGAATCCCCAGAGGTATGAATAAAATTTGAGTGCCTTGTGCTATAAATGTCGATCTCTCTCTGAACTATATCTGTCTGACTTACTTACCTTTCTGCAAGAAACTACCTTTACAACATTAATGCTACTTTGGATTTTGCTTGCATTTAAAGCTTCCGAATACTTTTTATAAACTGTAGGCTAACAATTATTAAATTTTCTCTTGTCTCTTGTGAAATATGTTTATTAGTTGCATCCAAACATGCTCAGCTGAATGAAATTCATAATAAAATGCTAGAAACATTGAAAGTTGGACAGCATAAAGTCATGCAGACTCAGTCGCAGATTGACAGGTAAATAATTAACTTTGAATTAAGATTTATTACATATTTTACATATTGTAATATTTACCATGATGGTATATATGAATATTAATATACAGTATGATATCATATGCAGCTGATAGACAGGTAGATTTAAAATACACTTTTAAAGTAGGTTTCACTAAAGCCAATCAAGTTTTCAACCAGACATTTATCAGTGATTCAAAATCAAGGTCTTTAAATTCACCTTTACTGAATAGTAAACAAGTGCATGTTAAAAACACCCTAATTGATATCATAACAAGCAACGATTTTTGCATTTGTAATATAATTTTAACAGTTAATATAGTCCAAATTTTTTAAAATCTTGCAAATAGGTTGACTGTGTTAACCATGGTGTCTGTTTAACCAATTAAAGGCATGGAGCAGATGGCTGTTGTCTGCCAGAATAGCCTTAAAAATCCTGACAAGCCTTTCATGGTAAAATAAGTCCAGTGGCTGCATAAGTTAACTGGTTACTTTCCCTGCCCTACCCAGCACCCTCCCAATTCATTTTTTATCCACTTTAATGGGGTAACAGGGTGCTATATATGAACAATATGATACAAGATATAGCCACATATAGAGTATGCAGTTAAATATCCTATGCTTCTTTAGACAGTTTGAGACTACTGACAACTTAATATCAAATACATTTATAGGCTTATGATATAAAGCTGGATTTTTTTAATGGACGGTTGAATAAAGTAAGCTTAATATGGACATTTTCATACCATAGAAGGATAAATAACATATGGGCAGTTTTATGTCATTATACCTGAGGAATATTAGACATATGCAAATGCAAATTCCTTTTTTTTTTAAATTTTAGTTTTTATTTCAAAAGCAACAACTTAACCTATTTAATGGTTTCTGAATAAGTATTCATTATTTTTTCCCAATCTAATTTTTCAGTTTCTGTTTCTCCTGAGGCTTAATTTTATTACATTTCCTATACCCTCCAGTATCCTACTAAATTTCCAATTATATGTTAATGATATGCAAATTTTCTACTTTCTTCATGTCAGCATTATACAGAATTCTAGACTGATTAATTATTTTCTGGCGACCTACATACCTCTTATGCTAGTTCGTAGGACTCACACTCTAATATATATATCCTAGATTTGTACACAGTTTAATGGAAGATTCTTATTTAATATACGGACATATTTATACTATATTGATAGACAGTTTGCATTTATATTGGTAGGTTAATATCAAATATGAATAGTTTGATATCAACAATTTAACACCGTATAGGGATGGTTTGCTTTTTTATATGAAAAGTCTAAAACAGTCTATGATTTCCCTTTTTTTTAATTAGTGGTTTTGTTGTTAATTTATTCACCAGTGCACTTGATTGATGTTCATTAATGACTTTCTCTTCTCCTCCAACAGCCAAGAAACGATCAATTCAGAAATCAGAGAAAAGCTAAACAAACTTGAAAACTTGATAGAAGAAGAGGAGAAGAAACACCAAAGTCAGAGGTAGTGTTTAGAATTTCAATATAAGGTGCATTTATACAGTTGTTTCAATATGCCAATAAAAAAACAAAAAAGTGCCAATGAGGCCAGAGGATAGTGGGTACTACTACACTGAGTATTATATCAGGTTAAAGTAGTTGTGCTTTTCTTCTGCAATTTGAGAGCCAACTGGCAGACCAGGGGCGGATTGCTACAAAAAGATCTTAACTGGTAGTCTTAACTCCTGAAATATAGCCAGCTTTATCACTTAGATGGTTTTACTAAACTCACTCTGGTAAGACCATTACTATAAAATGGTCTTCCCTTAGACTGCGCTATGTATTGAAACGTTAACAAGCATTCCCTGGTTACATAAAATGGAGGACGCTGTTACATACGTCACGCTTACACATGTATCAAAATGAACGTAAATAAACAAAGACTTTACAGACGCTGAGAAGTTTGGGGAATATTCGCCGTTTAACCCTCTGTCTTTGACAATCCAGGCCTAGGACTAGTACCTGTAATGCCATGATGAAAATGATTTTAAGACCGTTTTAAGCCTCCTCCGTGTAGGCTTTAAAATTTAAGATGGCTAACTGATTAGACCGCGGTATTTGTCTATAGTCATAGACCAGTAGTGAACTCATGATTATAGCTGGCTAAAGACCACCTTGCCCCAGGCCCACAGAAACGTAATTCGCTTGATCACCATATCGATTCTGATCCTATCCCTTGGCTACACTCAGTACGACCCAAGTTAGAGCAAAAAAAGAGAAATTAGGAGTAAGATATGTTTGTACTGTAGGTGGATTTTAGTTTAGCTTGATGGTTAATATGCTGCCTTCCAATACCAGTGTTCCAAGTGCAAAAAAGTCAGAGTAACAGGATTTTTCTCACAACCAAAAGCAACTCTACTCCCTAAGCCTCATAGCAAGACTTAAGCCATGGATCTCGCTGCATCTTATGACCATCAGCTGTCAAAACCAACTCCACTTCATTTGAGTGCTAGACGACGCGACACCTTCTACTGATTGTCGGTGGCTGTCTGAAGGGATTGTCATTAAAACGATCTGTTGTGCAAGCGTCGTGGCGTTGCGTTCTCCATAGAATCGCGTGGAGCGCCCGGCCTTAATCTATGCTATAGAGCATCTTGTGTGTGTGTATGTCTTGTAAAGAGATTGCTACTTAAGAGAAATGATTAAATTGCTGTTTGCATATTCAAGACATTGTTAATAAACTTTAATAAATAAAAAATATCTTTATGTAGTACAGTATACTGTACATTTTTTTTTTTCCATTATTTTGTTTTACCCTTTACTGGTCTTTTGAACTTTTCTTACAATATTGTACATGCCATGTTATAACACAAGCCTCAACTATTACTTGATTAATCACGTTGTGTTTTAATTTCCATTTCTAGGGAGGATTACGAAGACAAGCTCAGTGAACTGGAACGTCTGTATCGAGAAGCCAATCAATTTTATGTGAGTTTTACTGAAGTGAATAATAGTTATTTTACTTCTTTTTGTCATAAATAATAATGGAGTAATTAATTATCTAAATGAAGTATTTATAAGGCTGAAAAACCCTTTGAAATTTTATTGAAGATTGAGAATATATATTTGTGTTTTTGTTATTATAAAATTATAAAATAATTTATATGGATTGCATTATATGTAGGGGTGGAGGTAATTGCAAAAAGGGGTGCTTTCCCAAAATCCTAGTAGCCAAAATAATTCACTAGCCTCTGTGTGAAATCATTTAAATAAAAGATTAAAATGTATAAAATTGTGAAGCTTCCTAGAGCAGTCCGAACCTTTCTGGGATGTCAATCAAACTTAACAAATGACCAGAGCAGTGCCAAGTATATGTGCATGTCCTACAAACACATGCGTTGTCCCATATATGCACATATTTATATCCATTTGCGCTATTAATTTGGGTGACCTGCAACAATATAATAATAATAATAATTTGCAATTTGTATAGCGCCTTCCGTTGGACTAACCTCGAGGCGCTTGACAACAACGGAAGGAAACAGACAAGAAAAATAACCATAAACAAAGGGCGGGGCTTAGCGAAAAGTTCCATAGCCACCCTAGACCCCACAGTAGGTAAAGGAACACCCTAAACACTTTCTCTCTCAGACCATGTGTTTCTCCCCCCCTTCCTCTCCTTTAGACGATAGGTCATTGATTGCCACTTGTACAACCCCAGCAAAAAAAAATTTCGGATGTACCACTGAATGTATTAAAAGATATTGATTTTTCTACGAATAAACATTCACAATTGATGTTGACTTATGCAGGCTTATGTCAGGTCGTCAACTTGTCTTCGTCACGGGATATGTTGTTGTTCTTGTAATGTCCATCATAATATCTTATGCCAGCTCACATAGCCTGATAAATCATGCTGTTGATTTGAAAATTAAAATGTACAGTAGTCTTCTTCGAATTCCAGTCCTTCATCATCTATTTATTCACCACCACCACCACTAACAACGCCAACGTCATTTTCATTAATCACTTTGGCATTTCCTTCCGTACTATTTAGGCGCAGATGTTGCGGTGTTGCTTCTCAACTTTGAGGTTGGAGGTTCAATCCCTGGCTGCGCATTTCGCTTGTGTCCTAGGCAAAGTACTTTAAGATGGTTTTCTCTCTCCACCCATGTAGTGGGTACCCGGTAGATTCAAAGACAAGATGTGCTGATTACATCTTACATGATTACAGCTGCAACATTATGGAATTCCCCCCCATGGAGCTGAGTATATGTTCTGTTATGTGCTTGATCCAGTGAACGGGGGTAATAATGTAAAGCGCTTTATAGAGGCCTTGTAGGTATGAAATGTTATAGAAGTTTAACATATTATTTTTATTATTATTTTCAACATAATTCTGTGGTATAATTTATTTTTCTAAATTTCACAACAGTAATAATCCTAGTCTTTCATAGCGCATTTTGCCAAGGTCTCTATTCGGTTGACAACACTCAATGCCTCTGCAGCATATTACGCAGACTCCCTAGGGGAGTATTTAATTCCATAATATCGCAGCTAGTAGTCAACGTATTGACATTCAAAACTCTCAGGTACCTACATACACCTGGGTTGAGAGGAAGAACATGGTAAAGAGCCTTGCCCATTGGCACAAGCAAATTCCTAGACTCAAAATATTGGACCCCAAATCCTAATTAATTTTTGAGAGAGTGCAACACCTTCGCTAATCGCCTCCACAATGTAATTTCAAATTCTTTGTAGTGAAAGAAGTAAATCCATGCCGAGCCACAGGGCTCATATGGGCTGGAGCTTGAACATGAAGCAAATAAGAGCGTGATGCTGCCCCTGGGTGGGACGCTGGTCCACCGCAGGCTACTCCCAGCAATTTGTTGGTACCCATTTATACAGCTGGGTAGACTGAAGCAATGTAGATATTAAGGTGCCTTGCTCAAGGACACAAGCAAAATGCACAGCGAAGAATTGAAACCCCCGACCTCAAGGTTGGGAAACAAAACCATTCCCACTGCACCAAACCGACTCTACAATTCTTTTGTAATAAGTACACATTATCGTAGCTGAGGGCAGTGTGCCTTATGAGCTGTCATTTGTTTTTTTTTCCCCCCCTCCACTGCTCCTGTGAATCTATAAGAAATCATAAAGATTAATGTAATTTATCACTTCTAAACGCTTGAGCGAATACTTCATAAAAATGAGTGGTACTGATGTATGACTAAGGTGTTAGGTTTCAAGATTTCATGTCAGATATCAAGTACATATTTTGTCAAAATTATGCAATTAAAACTTTGTTTTCTTCTTTGTATGAAATATGGTTACTTTTTATATAAATACTGTATTGTTTACATTTTTATGTCATCAGATATAAGCCACACCATTTGTATTCAAAGGTGGTGGGCTTAAGTTCAAGGGACTGAGGTATATTATTATCCTTATTATTATTAACTATTATTATTCAAGGTAGTATCATAATTATTACCTCCACCGAAGAGGTTATGTATCTACCCCTGCATGACCCCTGTCTGTCTGTTACTTTAGCAAAATTACACAAAACCTAAGGAATGGATCATCTTTAACCTTAGTGGAATGGTACATAATAATCTAGTAAGCTATGATTAATGTTTGGGAAGAAAAGGTCATAGGACAGGGTCAAGGTCACATAAATTTAATTCCCCCCACCCCCTTTTGAACTTCGAGAATGAAAGGAAATAATAGAATCGCCCATACATGGCCTGCGCATGGTTCGGTATCCAAGCACAGAGAGTAGATGTATCCAATCAATGGAGTGTCTGCTCTAGTTATAATTATTATTTATATTATTATTATGTTATTAATTTTTTTATTATAATTTTATTTTATTATTATTACTTGTCAATAATATTATCACTTTTGTTATTAGTGTTATCATTATTATTAATTTGTGCGTATGATAAACAGGCAAATGTACACCAACTTCATTGTGCTAATTTATGTTACTAAGTTGTTGATATCACAAGTATTTCACTATTTGTTGTATGTAACTAGAATGTTTCTGCGCTTAAAATTTTTAACCGTACCTGTGTAATACTTTTTTCGCGGTCTTCAGAAATGGTCGAAATTTTGAATCTTATCAATTCGAAATGAAAAAAGTGCTAATATATGACAAGGGTCATCCGAGTGTACATTGTATTTATTTAATTCATTCCCATTGTGAGTGTAACTTGAGGAATGATGCACCGATGCACAATAAACTCTTCCTATTATTTCCCTCGTGTATTATTACTTTCTTCACTGTAATCCAGGAAACTTAATCTCTTTCTCCTCACAGAAAGACGATGCTTTATTGAAGCAAGTTTCAGAGATCTTGAAGCAGAAGAACATTATGTCAGAAAAACGTATGTAAAAATTAGACATGGAACTCATGGGGAAAACTGTTGATAGGGTGAAACTATTAACGTGATTGGAAAAAGCAAACATTGATTCAATCCCATACCGTGGGATGGCTGTATTTTTGACATGCATGATTGATTACACTTGATAATTAGTTCAGAGGTGAAAGAGAATTGGGCACTAGCCTAACAACAGACACAATTAAGCATGCATATTCCTCATGTATACACCTAACACATTTATTATAGTTGATTATAGTTGAGAAAACACATTATGTATATATATACAGCATTCATTCAGCTTGCATGTCAATAGAGACAGGATATTGGCTTCGTCAGCCGTCCAGACGTCATCTCAATCAGGCGCGGATCCAGTAGTGGGGGCATGTTTCCCCCCTGTTTTGAAATGAATGAAATGAAATGAATGAAATGAAATTAGCGCTATTCACTTATATATTCTGAATATGTTGTGACCCCTGTTTGAAAAATCCGTGCTAATGGTCAACATTGAATTAGTGGGCACGTCTAGCATGATATTTGGACGGCCTGGCTAGCTAAACCTAGTCTACCTTTAGTTTACAGAAGTACCTTCCTGGAATCAGAGTTACCTGTGATTCTGTCTTCTACACCTTATTAAACTTGGTCCACACTTACAAAAAACTGTTGTATGCCCATATTTAGTCATGATGTACCTATATTTGGTCATGATGTGATGTCATCATGACCATATTTAGGCATGTCACATGTTTTGTCAAATAAAATTTGATAGTCTGGACAGGGAATTAATGTAGTTCACCACTTGCCTGTGAAAAGGAAAAATCTATATATCCACAATTGAAATAGGCTTAGTAATAAGTAAACTCAACATTATTCAGTCAAAAAACAAACAAATACCAGTCATCAAACATTTTCAAATGCAATATGAAGGTCTTGATAATTTTCTCTTTTTTTCGCCCTCAGAAGGGGACACCATTATCTAACCCATCCTCATCTCCTCCTTACACTCTCGTCGACCTTCACTTCATGCCGAAAAGACCATTTAATTTTGAATACATTTAACAATGATAATTTTATTGAGCATTACATGTATGCATACTGATATATACTTGAAATTGACGAATACGCTCAATACAGAATATAACTTAACTTCGCACACACTTTCTACAATGTAACTCAAAATTTATCATCATATATTGCTAATGTTTACTATTTGTACACACACTGTTATTAGAGGAAACTCGGATCTAATAAAAATGATGAGTTTGGACCATAAAGTGTAGCCAGGCGGGAACTAGAATCTAAATGTTTACATAATAATGCTCAAGTATATTGTCAGGGAGAACCAATGGAAAGAGTGTTCAGAGACTGAAAGACGAGAAACTAATCAAAGTAATGATGATTGTAAATATATCTGAAGCAGAATGAGAGAAGATGTCAGGCCACCGTGGGTATTGTGTTATTGTCAAAAATACAAATGTAACGATGTATTCGTTTGAAGTTGATGACATACCTGGCTGAAGTTGTGCATCCAAGGGGGTAATCAAGATTCATAATAAGGGGGTAGTCTAAGATGCACAGCTAAAGGGGTAATTGTAAGGTTCTTAAAATTAAATTCATAACAAGGGGGTAGTCTAAAATAAGCTTCACAATGAGGAGATTATCTAATATTCATAAGAAGGATCTATGCTGCAACTAAGATCTAGCAATATATTCTTACATAAAATTAAAATATAACATTTCTGGAATGGAGTTGGGATTAAGGGTGGAGTTGTCAATTTTTTGTGGGAACCATACTTTACACTGGCAGATCCTGGAATTCGAAAAATAAAGGGGGCCTAGGGAGGAACTTTCACAGACAGAGGGTGTAGACCACCTTGGTCCCACCATGGTTAGGGCGGAGGTAAGAAAATTTATGATTATGACACCTAGATGGCTGGAAATGGAAATATTGAAATATATTTCGAAAAAAAAAAATAGAGAATAATTTTTTGGAGTGACATTCATACTATTTGTACTTAACCTCAGTGTAAATCCTAACCAAAATAACTTTTATAACCTTAACTTACAAGTCAGAGAGTGCCATATCTGGCAATAGACACAAAAGTATGGTTGTTCCAGACTACCTCAGCCCATTTGGGTTGAGATGAGTTTGGACCATCCATCTGTAAACGTGCCTTTCTTGGCTCCTCTAGTTGAATTCCTGGACCCACGATCGAATTGGATGGAAAAATGCAGAATACCTATTAGAGACATGTCACAGGACTATTCAACTACCCTCCCATCGAGGGAGTACTCTCTAGCTCGAACTTTATGCTGGTCACATACAGATAGAGAACATTATTGGGCTAACAAACTTAATAATGTACAAGAAATTAATTAATTGCTTGTGTCCTTGGGCTAGACACATTCTTTTCTATACCCAGCGATGTATGAATGGGTACCTGGTGGTTTGTGAATGATTTGCGCCATGAAATTGTATATTGCTGGATTTAGCTGTATGATTAAAAACAGTCCCACGAGAGAGGAGGAGGTTGAAGATCGAATGTATACAATTGATTGTATAATTATAACATTGATACATATCAATGCATGGCAAGTGTGGTTGTATGCATTGAGACTGGTGTTGTGTGCATACAAATGTATTAAAGCCCTGTAGACTATCAAATTTTACAGTATATGACAAAAACATGTGACATGCCTAAATATGGTCATGATGACATCACATAATGACCATATATAGGCACATCATGACTAAATATGGGCATCCATTTTTTTTGTCAAATAAAATTTGATAGTGAGGACAGAGCCTTTGCAGTGTGTATTTAGGAGCAAAGATTATAGAGCTGCGAGAGGTCCGGCTCTCTGGATTTCGTTGGAACGTAATCCTATAGAGTACTACAGTGTTACCTCACAATACCACATGATACTACACCATTGCTATCGTTGCAAAATGTGTTCAACCGATGCCATTTTCTCCACTGAAAAGCCATTGATCCCAATTTCTAATATAGTTTGTAAGATGTTGTATCTTACTTTCTCTTTGTAAATTTTAATTGATGATTAAGTGTGTGTTTGATAACTAATATAATGCCAGCTTTTTTTTTTTTTAGTACATTTTGATAGTAAAATATTAGATTTTAAAATGTTTATTCCGGAAAGCCAATAAAGTCAATCAGGCGTAATGAACGGTAACCAACCTGTTGACAACAGAGACCGCCACCTGGTGTTGTGATGACACGACTGTGGTGCTCTATTTAAAAAAAATACTACCACGAAATAGAGGGCGTCCTTCAAAAGGCGAGTTTCGAACTCAATTCGACTTTAAATAGAGCGCCCTCTATCTTGTGGTCGTACTTATTAAAACATTTCATTGTGTGCATACCAAATTAGAGCTGTCTGACCTCTTGCTATTCTATACTCTTTACTAGGAGTATTGACATGGAGTGTTGGTGCTGTCTCTTATACACATCTAGATGTGTATAAGTGGGATTTTTGATGATTAAGTGAGGGGGTGGGGGTTACCTGGCAAAATATTGTGAGGTAATTTTCAATGGACAGGGAACTGGGGAGTGGGGAAAAAGCTTTCGTTTATCCCTATAGATACACCGCTGAGTATATGTAGGACTATACGGTAAATGATAAATCCGTAAAAGACATGCATTTTTATAAAGCTGACAACCTGTCCCTTTTAATTTGATTCAGTTCAAGCAAGTCAGACAGTCGCACTATAATTGATTCTGTATTCAGTGACCAGCGTAACATATTAACACATATATTGTCGCTGACACCACAAACTATACTCAAAGTAGTTTGTGTTAGTTTGTGAAATCATAAATTTCTTTTTCCATTCGACCGATACCTGTTATCTTCATTAACACACATAAAGTCTATTACAAAAATAGAACGTAATTAAACACGTTTTTATTGTTTTCATGAACCAACACATGCTATTTTGATTGTGTTATAGTTCATGGTTTGAGTGCCAGGATGTAATATGTAGTATATGAAACATGCTACCATGAAACCCAGTTGCAATGTAACATTACAAGAACATCAAACATTTAGTTATTAACTAAAAAAGTTACAATTTAGTTATAATTTTTTATAACTTATGCAATATGTTTAAGATGGTTGGTAAGCAAATTTTGAAACTCTTCACTTTTCATTCATACCCAAACTGTGCAACTTCTGCATGCACTCTGTAGCATGAAGCTATTTTTTTGCAGTTGTAATAATGTATTCCAGTGTCATATAATAATGTACTTAATTTTTAACATCAATTTCTTATTATTAATTAAAGAAATCTAATAATCCCAATATGTTATATATCATTCTGAAGCTAATTTATTATACAATAAATTAAAAACAAAAAACATATTTTTATCATTCTGTGTATGTTTCGTGGGAATACGTCATTTGTGATCTATACAAATCTAACTAATGAATTAACACAGTTTACGTGTATAGCGAAAGATAATTCTGTGAACGACAAATGTATTTTGGAAAACTCGGCAACCTGTCCCTTTTGATTTCGATTTAGTTGAAGCAAGTGATGCGGACAAGGGAGACTTGAGGATGCTGCTTGAGGGATTACAGTTAAAGGAGGATGTGCAAGAAAAACAGCAAGACGTTGATGAGGAACAGCAGAAGATTCTGCAGTGAGTTTATCTTTCTTGTCCAATCCAATCTAAATTTGGCTTATAAGGCACATAATGCTTCAAGTCTATATGCGCCAAAGATCAATCATTAACCAAATATTGATGTTGCTTTATCAATTTTTTCAAGAAAAATTATCTTGTGAATAAAGCTAAACTAAATACATAATTGTAATTATGCTTATTCATTCGTTTAATTCAGGTATAAAATTAAATAAGTACAAAAAAACAACCATAATTACTATTTATTAATTTAATCAATATCATAATTATCCAGGCCCGTAGTAAAGCAGTTTATTGCTTGTCCATTTTGAGGCGTGGGGTAGCAGATGTGGACCAACTGGCCTCAGGGGGTAGAGCCAGTTTTTGGATTGCACCTTTTTGCATATTTTTTTAAAAGAAATTACCATTTTTTTATGGCAGATGGTGCGCTAAATGCCTAAAGATAAAATGTTATTTTAATGACAAAATCAGCATTATGGGCGGTTGGAAGTATCTCTAAACAGTCTTGTCTTCAAATCATCATTATTGTCATCGCCATTGTCATCATCATAATCATTATCTTTATCGCTGATCATCATTACCATTTTCATCATCGTAATCATCATTGACATTATCATCACCATCAGTTTTTGTGATGACCATCATTCAGTTTTTTATATAGCTAATTTTCTGTATAGATATAAAAGCTATGATTATGATTATTGTGTTGCCAAAGTGATAGTGTTCTATTTTGTTCCCACAGGGACATGTTCCAAGCAGATTTAGAATCCAAGAAAGCCACATTGGCAACACTTCAAAAAACCAGAATCAAAATTGAAAAAGAAGTGAAACAGTAAGTGCTGTATAACAACTGATTGGTACCTTCTTTGGCTAACTTGTTTAAAAGCTGAAATGAATTAATTTTAGCCTTTTCCTGCAATAATTTATATTCTTAAAATAATAAGGTCCTCTACATTTTAGAGTAATTAAAAATAAAGTTTTTTTTTATGTCCTTCAATTGTATTACTCCATCAATTATGATTGTGTGGATGACCTGCAAAATTTATTGGTGAATATTTTGTTGGTTTTCATTTACCTGTACCTTTATCATCAACATCATCTGAATGTTTATCATAAGCGTCATAATGATCATATACATCAAGTCATTATCAATGTAATCCTCAATAATTATAAGCATCATTATTATTAATAACATAGTCATCATCATCATCGACATTAACATTATCATTAGTATCATCGCCATTATCTTCATCATCATCTTTAACATCATCATGATCATAATTTTTTAATCATAGTTATTGCTATATTCCTTTATACACATTTTGATTGTAAATTTCATTCTGGAATAATTGTTTATAGGTTGTCTGAGTGGGAGCCTCCGAGTGAGTTTGTTTTGGAAGAAGACCCGTCACTAGTTGCTTAGCAACAAAACAACCACAATACAAGGCTGGTAAAGAGACAGGTCTTTAAGATGATGTATTTATGGTGCCAAAATATGCTTTGAATTTTAATTGCCATTTAATTTTTCACTTATTGCGTGAATTTCAATTATTTTCTTAAATTTATCGGTGATAATGTGCTATTTGAGTGCAATATTATGTTTCTGAAATATTAAATATTATTTATTTTTATGATTTGTTTTTGCAATATTTTAAATAAATATGCAACTACTGGTAATTTTTTTAAAAGTGTACTCACTATATACACAGAAAAACAAACATATACTGTACACTTAGGTAGTATTATGTATTACGATCGATACAGGACAATTAAAAGTCCACATTCTCACATATGCTTTTAACATGCTTAAGTGAAATATTAAAAGGATTGGCCATTGTGAACCTATGAAGTTATGTACTGTAGTTAATACCAATTTTTTTTAATGGCTACAGCAATGTGGACCTACCACGGGCTCACTCATCCATAGCCATCATTCATTTTCTGCCCATTTAGCTTCAGCCCAAACCGTGTCTTAAGCCCTGTTCAAAAACGTGTGCCATGCTTAAATATTGTCATGATGACATCACCACATGACCATATATAGGCACATCATGACTATATAAGGGTTTTCAGCAGTTTGTGATGTCATTACGTTTTGGATCTTACCTTAGTCGTGTAATCAGAAACGCACGAATATACTTTTCCCACTGTATGCATCTAAAAATAAAACAGAGATTCAACCTTGAGACTGGTAGTTGATCTGAATTTGCTTGCGTGCGTTGGGCTTAAGGCAATGTTAATATGCTAATGAGATAGCCTGTTATTAAATCAGAATTCTGTACCTCAATATATCCCAAAGCTTTTTCAATCTCTTTGCCTATCGTTTTTCATTGCTGGATTCATTCCGTAACTCAATCCAGTCTCTTTAACCCTAACTTAACCTCTGAACCACCTTTAATGGTGGAGATTTCTTGCCTAAACACCTTTGCAAAACACCAGGCCTTTTACGGACTTCTCATAAACTTCAGGTTCGATTTTTACTACTCTCTGAAATTGATTGCAATATAGCGGGATATATTTTATGTGGAGTGGATCTAATTCATGATTCTCTGTGTGTCACGTAAAGTTTATTTAATGTGTGTGTACTTCTAGCTCTAGGGTAAAATGTTTCTAGGATTAAATCTCATTGAAGTGGCTTCCTCTATGAGGATGTGTCATAATCAATTTCACAGACCTAAAATTATACTTTTATACGTGTTAAAATCCTTGAACATCCTCAGCTTTTCATTGATTGACACTGGCACTAAAATTCATCCTTTTGTTGCCGATTGAAAATTGATCAATCCTGAACATTTCATCCTGTGTTTGACTGTAACGTAACCTGTGCAGTGTGTGTATCTAGGGTTGCGCTTGGGGGGAGGGTAACAAAATGTGGTTCTCCAATCTCTCCTCCCCCACAAAAAATCATGCTCAAATAGTTGAAAATCACCTTATATCAACTTATTTTGTGACCTAGCTCCTCGCACTTAATTATTGAGTCCCCACTCCACCTTCGCAACCCCCCATCAACTCCCACATTTCAAGATTCCTAGTTACGCCACTGATGATGCCAGGATTAGCCAAACAGAAAAGGGGGTGGAGGGGAGATGTTGTAGGGGCTGTGTGGTTTGATAATACGTAGCAGAGGCTAGCGGGGTCCACGAGCAAAGCCCTGGTGGTATTCCAGGTAGCTATTAGCTTCGGTGTTTGCATGTGAAGTTAGTGGCCAAGCTTTTTTTCAGGCAAATTTAGAAGCAGAGTGGTTTTCACATGAGGCCAGTAGCTTTGCTGTTTGTGTGTGAGGTTGGTAGCTGAGCTGTTTGCATACGAGGCTTTCACTATACATGAGGCCAAGAGCTTAGCTGATTGTATGTGAGATTGTTAGCTGAGCAGATCATGTGAAACTTTTAACTGAGCAGTTTACACATGAGACCAGTAGCTTTGCTGTTTGCATGTGAGGTTTATAGCTGAGCAGTTTGCATGCTAGGCTTCTAACTGAGCTGTTTACACATAAGGCTAGTAGCTGGTTTGAATTGCTCATGACTTTCAAACAAACAATTTGTTTACTGTGGTTTTCACATTATCTTGCATCATAATTTTATCACTCATTTATTCATGTGATTAAATTCATCCTGTATGCGAGCTGGGATAGCCATCCTGTCTCTCCACCTTGTGATTGGCTGAGACACATATTCACTGTTGTATAAACCTACTGATTTAATGTTAAAAATACAGTGCACATCTGACTGTTTGGTCAACATGTCAGAGAATACCATTTTAAGCTTGTTTAAATGTTTGATTCTCATTAGCACAGACAAGAGGATTAAGCCATAATCCATACATAATACCTAGATAATTCCTTAGTCCAAGTAGTCTAGATAATCTGAGTATTAATTGCCTACAAAGCTATTTGAAGATTATTGAATATTTATAAACTTTACAGCCCCTGAATCAAAACAAAATGATTAATTCCAAAAATAATCCATACGTAATCCTCTCTAAATCCATTTATTCTAGGTAATCCAAGTGCTCTATTAATTACCTACGGTGTACACAATACCAGCACACACTTCATAATTGTATTCTTGTAGCATGAAATTTGATTAAATACTTAAAAGGATGATTCTAATTAGTATGTATTCCCATTGGTCATATATTAATTTTTTATTATAACAGCATAATAATCTGAATTAAGTTTCTCAGTTTTTCAAAAGATTAGATAAATTTGACCTTCATGGCGTGTTCATTTTTAATCCAAGTACCGGTACTCTAAATACCCATGCTGTATTAGTATGAATTGTCATCAAAGCTACTTTAAGGATCATATATTTATAAACTTTACTGCTCCTGAATCAAAACAAGGTGATTAATCTCATGATAATCTGTATGCAATCCTCCATAAATCTATTTATTCTAGATAATCCAAGTGCTGTATTAATCATAATCCAAGTACTGTATTAGTTACCTAAAGTGTACTCAGTACCAGCACACACTTCATAATTATATTCTTGTCATATGAAATTTGATTAATTACCTAATGGATCAATCTAATTATTATGTATTTCCATTGGTCATAAATTTAATTATATTTTACAGCTTGGTAATCTGAGTTTTATATTTTTGAGATGATGGAATAAATATGACCTTGATGTGAAAAGGGTATCGTTAACAAAGCACATTCATGCAATTTTACCAGTATTGGGAGATCATTGTGAATATGGGATTTGGCATTCTTCTAAATCTATGTAGCATTTTTATGTATACTCCTACTCTATGGAGCAGGGAAAATTGTACAGTACTCTGTTCCGCAAAAGTTAAGGATGAGGTGAAAATAATTTAGGTTATTTCACGTAAGATGCTCAAAATTGGCTCTATCAGGCCAGTTGTCTCTGGCTTGAAAACTGATTCTTAATTAAAACGGCCCACCTTCTTGGACCGCACTTGACTCTGTGCTTGTGTCTCAGGGATGTTGCACCTCCCTTTGCATAATGTAACAGGGGCTAAAAGTCAATTTGAATTTATGGATTAAAGGGTCTGGGGTATTAATATTGTTAGTCTTATATAGCTCTGTGTACTGCTGCTTACAGTATTACCTCTCCCCTTCCCACTCTCTATCTCCCTGTAACATTCCTCGTTGAGCTTCCTAGTAAGTTAGGATTGACGTACTTAGTGACTAGAAGTCTCAGATTATAGGCCTGCTGCATCGGTGTGTATCAACTAGAGAAAAAATAACATCTACATCTCCATCACTAGTGTATCCTGGTTTTTACCAAATGTGCTTGCCTTTGTTTTTGTAGCGAATAAATACTCAAGTTTCCAGGGGCGGATTTAGCGGGGGGCCGGCCCGGCCCCGGCTCCCCCTTTTGGGAGGTAAAAAAAAAGAAAAAAAAAGAAAAAAAAGAGAGAAAAAGAAAAAAATGATAGCCCAGAATGCCTCAAATGTTATGTTCGGGCGTCTAGAACACAAAAATTTCGCGGGGGCATGCCCCAGACCCCCTACGAAAGTGTTGTCTCATTTGGCCCAACTTTCGGCCCCCGCTTCCGGCCCCCCCCCCCTTTTGGACATTTCTGGATCCGCCCCTGGTTTCACTCATGAATCATGATTGCAAGCTCTTGGAAACCTCCAAGTTTAACTTTTTGTCCAAATTTTTTCCAATATTTAGATATTAATAAGCAAACTATAACCATTTTTTGTCTAGTATAAAAAGTTGTGTAAAGTTTACAATAGTGTTTCCTTATTTCAATAAGTCTCATAATGAGGTCAAAGGTTTCATAGGGGATTTGAACATTGCCCATAGGATTTAAAGGCAAATGCCTTAACCACTAAACCATAACAGTCAAACTTAAACTACAATTTGCCGTCAATTCTTTTGCACTTGCTCTAGATATTGGTCGGGTAACTACCTTAAAGTGGTACACATTAGCAGTGCATTTTAACAGGCGTATCTAAAAGCTATGCCCTTGTCTCTTATACACATCTGGTATCGTTAACAAAGCACATTCATGCAATTTTACCAGTATTGGGAGATCATTGTGAATATGGGATTTGGCATTCTTCTAAATCTATGTAGCATTTTTATGTATACTCCTACTCTATGGAGCAGGGAAAATTGTACAGTACTCTGTTCCGCAAAAGTTAAGGATGAGGTGAAAATAATTTAGGTTATTTCACGTAAGATGCTCAAAATTGGCTCTATCAGGCCAGTTGTCTCTGGCTTGAAAACTGATTCTTAATTAAAACGGCCCACCTTCTTGGACCGCACTTGACTCTGTGCTTGTGTCTCAGGGATGTTGCACCTCCCTTTGCATAATGTAACAGGGGCTAAAAGTCAATTTGAATTTATGGATTAAAGGGTCTGGGGTATTAATATTGTTAGTCTTATATAGCTCTGTGTACTGCTGCTTACAGTATTACCTCTCCCCTTCCCACTCTCTATCTCCCTGTAACATTCCTCGTTGAGCTTCCTAGTAAGTTAGGATTGACGTACTTAGTGACTAGAAGTCTCAGATTATAGGCCTGTGCTGCATCGGTGTGTATCAACTAGAGAAAAAATAACATCTACATCTCCATCACTAGTGTATCCTGATTTTTACCAAATGTGCTTGCCTTTGTTTTTGTAGCGAAAAAATACTCAAGTTTCACTCATGACTCATGATTGCAAGCTCTTGGAAACCTCCAAGTTAAACTTTTTGTCCAAAATTTTTTCCAATATTTAGATATTAATAAGCAAACTATAACCATTTTTTGTCTAGTATAAAAAGTTGTGTAAAGTTTACAATAGTGTTTCCTTATTTCAATAAGTCTCATAATGAGGTCAAAGGTTTCATAGGGGATTTGAACATTGCCCATAGGATTTAAAGGCAAATGCCTTAACCACTAAACCATAACAGTCAAACTTAAACTACAATTTGCCGTCAATTCTTTTGCACTTGCTCTAGATATTGGTCGGGTAACTACCTTAAAGTGGTACACATTAGCAGTGCATTTTAACAGGCGCATCTAAAAGCTATGCCCTCAGCTAGTCACATTAGATATAACGCAGGATGTTGACATGTTCAAATGGATGAATGTGGGTAGACACAGGATGTTAAGAGCTTGAGATGTTTACGTGTCTTCCACTAGCATATGGATAAATACGAGCTCGTAAAATTTTATGGCACAAATTCGTCGGAATACCGCTTTAAATCTTCCCTAGCTAATTCATCAGTGACATTACATGCCAAACGTCGCATTGTTGACTATTGTAATGGTACACATTCTTGTCATTTTACCACTCATGTCCTCCTAATTTCAAGTTGAAATTGCACAATGCTCTAGAAAAAATTGCACAGGCAAACTGTCTAGGATGTGAAAGATGGAGACAGAAAATGGAGTAGAGTTCCTGATAGCAAAATACAGGCCGATGTTACCAGGCATTTGAAATAGCAGTTTAACATTGTTATTCTTTATTGAAAATATAAGGAAATAAATCAATAATTATATGTACAGTATATATTATATATATATTTCACTTCTATTATCAACTTCTGTATATTACTGTTTATAATATGCTAAATTTTGGCAATAGTTTTGCTTATGCTTTATACTGTATTTATATATGATTTATGTATTATTTGAACATTTTCATGGAGGCTTATACAACTGTATGGTGCTTCATTATAAAGATGACAAATAGAGAGAAATGTTACCATGGTTACACAATGGACACTGTTTATTGAACGTTCACTTAAAATATATGTACACTTTAAAGTTATAACATTTTTGAATAAATCTCTTCTGGGAAAAAAAACATTGTATATTTGTTTGGACTGTTAAACTTTACACAATTTATATATTTAATTTATATACTAAGAAATCTACATTGTTAAAAAGTTTGAAGATTTGGTTTATAAGCTAGCTAGGCTGACTGGCTTGGGGACAATATTGATGTTGGAAGAGAAAAGAAAGTATAAAAGCAATGTGACAAACAATAAGTATGGTTCGCCCTACAATTTGAGAGATCCCCTTTAATTCTGAGATTCCTTTAATTCAGGACCACTTTTTTAAAGAACCGGTTAACAATCCTCCATCTTAACACAAAGATAACCCTCTAATTAGAGACCGATCCTCGAGACCACCCCACATTTTTTGGTCCCAAAGGTGATCTTGAATAGTAATTTGAACTGCACTTAAATCTTTTATTGAGCCTCTGTGACACGGACATTAAATTTACGAACCAAATAACGTCACATAATAGGCCTATACCTCACTGACTGACAGCACTTATAATTTGGTTTAGTAGTAATGTTTCTTGTTTTTGGTTTGTTATTTAGGTTTTGATATTATACATACATACAGTACATTTCATATTTCATATACATTACAGTACATTTCTCATGGAACACAGATTTCTTGGGAAAGTATTCAAATATGCTGTAGCTAGTAATTCGCACATTTGAACCTACCAGGTACCCACTTATACTGAGTGGAGACACAAGCAACTTTCAGTGACTAAATCTCTATTATAGCTTTTAGTAAAGCATTTTTGTATTATTTTATGGAAGAGTGTTGTCCATGTTTCGAATGCACTTAACAGATAATAACATTATATATTTTTAACTCTTAACTCCAAGCAACAACATTTACATCAATGGGGGTTTTTTTTTTTGGTATGGTTAGTTCAAAATTAATTTTTTGTGTGGATCGATACAGAATGCTTTATTGTTGATGCAGCAACGAGACATCTTGCAATTAAAATGAAATTGATGAATATGTCTGGAGACAATTTGCAATCAGCATGCATGGAAGAGATGAAGTATTTTTATTTGAAGACTGAAACTATTTGGCTTCTACTTGTTGCCTAGCGAACATAGACGAGGGTCTGGTCTTGCAGAGTTTCTTAAATTTATTAATCTAAACACAATAATTAATCTTTTCCGTTTGTAAATAAAACATTTGTTAAAAGCACATTTTGACTTGTGTGGTCTAAAAGAGAGAACATGAGAAATATATTAAATGAGAAATGATTTCTAATTTGTTACAAAACGTAATTGTTACAAGGAGACATCAATATGTCTTAGCATAGCAAGTTATATTGGTTTCTTTACCTTTAGTCATTGACATACAGGTAATCTCACTAGAGGGCGCCAAACTGTTCTGCAAGACTTTCATCAACTGAAAAATGATCTTTCTATTTAGCCCTAAATCTTATCAATGTTTTGCTTAACTGTATTTCAATTATTGACACTAATTAAAGTGGGAAGTGGTGTGCATTCTTCTATGGTAGGGGTCAACATTCACCTGTAGAAAGGATCTACCTCTAATTGCCCTGCCTGTAATCTGATACACAGAAATAATTTGGTTTTAAGCAAAATTATATAACATATTTACAAGATTTTTTTAGTAACAGTCAATATTTATTGTTACTTTATACAATATTTTCAATATCCATGTGGTCGTCTTAATAAAATATAAATCATAGGCCAAATCAATACAAAGTTGTGTTTCTTGTGTTAGGGAATAATCAGCCAAAAATATATCAAATTACTACAATTATGAGCTCTCGTTAAAGATGACCTTTAGAAGGGCGATGTAGTTGACCGTTAGGACGGAGTCTTGTGTGTTGAGTGGTTTCCAATCGTCACTGAATTTGACAGGGGGCGCTGTGTATTTCATCGTGCTTACTGGGGAGTCTCGCCAGTTCAGGTATTTTGTGAACTCGTTGAAGTTTACTTGTCCTTGTTCATTCATGTTCATTCTGGAAGAAAAAAATGTTAAACAATTAATTACTTTCTTAATTTAATATATAAATTATAAAAATGAGATAATATTCATGAACATCAATATTTGGTCATATTGAAATCATGTTATTATGTACATCAGTTTTCATCAATCTATGATTTTGGGTAAATTATGATTATTTTCTACACATTTTTCATGTAGGAATAGTGATGCTGAATGAACCTATTTAGAAACTTGTTGGACTTTTCTGCATCACATTGCTTATCTGCCTTTTTGCTAATTGTCCCAAGACTCTAGTGGTCTGCCTTTATCTTCCACCTCTATTTTTATTTTTTATTAAACCATAATAATTTTATAGAGGGTTTGCTGATATTCAGGGGCCCTCTTAAATAAATGAAACAAAGAGATGCATTTATCAGCCAGAACCCTGTGATTAGAAGACAAGCATCTTAACCACTAAACTCCCCTCCACTATGCACATGGTCATATTATTTTCCAGTTACCAAAGCACTGTTGATGGCTTGTCAGTGTTTCTGTGCATACAACTGATACATACCTTGACAAGACTGCCCTCAATAGGTCATCCGGGATGGGTACGTGGAAAGCATGGCAGGTGCTCCTAATTTGGTCAGGGTCAATGAACCCTGACCTGTCAGTATCATGATGGATGAACCCTTCTGTCAGTTTAGTGAAGTTCTCAAAGTTGTTCTTTCTTAGTTGCTCCTGAACGATAGACACGATAGTGTTCAGGTCAAGTTTGGTGTCTTGCGTGTCACAGTAGAAACGAGCGACGGTCATTATCTCGTGGTCTGCTAGCAGACTGCCTCCAAGCTGTACCATCAAATTCCTGAACAGCACAAGTGAACGTGGTAAAATTAATCTTTCAGTTGTAAATAGTGCATTGATAAATTCGTTGAAATTGTTATGAAGAGGTACTAGTATTTCAAGTGCTCAAAGACCAAACCGAATCGACCATGGCTATAATTAGGATACTTTATACTTTTTATATAAGAAAGCAAAAATTTTTTAATTTTTTTTTCATTTATGTCACACAAATCTAGCAATCAATATTTAAATATATTTAGCTAAATATTCAAACTGGAGGACAACATACTTGTAAGAAACTTTTTGCAGGTTAAAACGTTACAATCGGATCAGTATAGGAACGTTTCAGTTCAGTGCATTGAAAATGGGGCCCGAATTTCAGTTCAGATCCAATGTGAATGAATGTTATGCTGTTTATACTGGTAACAAATGTCGAGATATACCTAATAATTAAAAACCCAATTCACAAAGTTTGATAAAGAGATGTCTAGAGACTTTTTAATAGAGCATGAAAGATCTGAAATGATTTACTTTGAAGAATAGTTTCCATCGTTACATGTGGTATTAACAAAATTCTACTCACCTAAACTGATCATAATCTAATTTGCCTGTATTTTGAGGGTCGTTGCGGTTGAAGAATTCCTTGATCTTGTCCTTCTGACCTCCAGCAATACTCTTCAATTTGTTGTGGATCTTATCGATATCAGACACTGCAAACTGTAAATAATGGTTTGTTTTACTAAATAATATCTGTGGTTAATATATATTTTTTCCAACCCTAACATGAAAGTTTTTAAAAATATAGTTTGCTAATCAAGGTATAAAACAATGTTTTGCATTACTTGTTCGTTGTGTTTCTCCATGTATCTGAAGGCGTACTCATCAGCCTCGATCATAATGAAGAAGTGGTTATGGAAGTTGACACGACTGCCGACATACAGATCTGCAGCAGTGTAGTATTCCGAGAGCTGCGTACCAAACAGTGGCTGACCTGGCTTCTTAATGCGGTTGCGCTCCAAGAATTTACCGCCAATAATGCCTACAAATAATAAATATTTTAATTGATATACTGTCAGTATTGAGATAATAAACAATATACTGTAAATATTGTTTAAGTACAGGGGCAGATCCAGGTGTCCAAAAAGGGGAGGTGGGGTGACACCTGAAAAAAAATTCTGAGGCGTTTTGGGCAATCAATTATTTCTTTTTCTTTCTTTTTGTTTTTCATTTTTTACTTTCCTGCTTGCCCCCTCCCCCTTGCTAAATCTGCCACTGATGTAGCTTTCAATTAAAAATTAGAAAACATATTTAAAACATTATATAATATTCATATAAGAATTTATTATTCCATATTTTTTATTTATAAGTCTTTGATTTCATATATTCGGTTCATTAAAAACAATACAAATAATTTAAAGTTGGGATAAAAAAATACATACACACCACAGATAATAACAATTGAACTGGGATACCCAAATATGATATATAGAACTTATTTCCAATGCGTCCTTAACAATTTGAAACATTAATGTACATAAAAAAAATGTACACACGGACAACAAGCCAACAAATACACAAATCTGTAAACATATAATAAAATTGTATACAATTCTGATTCTAATCATCCTTCTTAAAAAGACCAGAGTGCTGTTGTAAAGAAGCAAAACTAAAAACCCAACAACATACATTTCATATAAAAGCACTTATGTACCTGACTATACAAGCTCAGTCTGCCCAATAATGTTTTAAGTGAAACGGGCATACATGGGCATGATGAACACTCACACTCACAAATGAGCAAATAAAAGTTATCTGTCACATAAAATTTATGATTTTAATTTTATTTACAGTATTGAACTTTCATTCTAGCAGCAGTGATCTTTTTTAGGTGTTTGTTTATTATCTGTAAAGTACTGTCTATCAGATTTCTACTGCGATAAATTCTAACATGCAATAATCAATTATAATATCAAATATAATATAATTACGATGTTAATTATTCATTAATTGTTTTAAAAAAATAACTGACAGAAATTTAATTAAAAATGAATATAATCAATCATCTCCAAAGTAGTTTAGTGTGTCATTTTCTATATTAAGTACTAACAGGATTATTTTTTTATAAATTATTCATTTTGTCAATTATGGAAGCTATAATACTCATCAATAGAAATGGCCAATTGAATCCTAAATACACTAATCTAGCCTCTGGGATCATGTGAAATAAAAATAGCAAGATATTAATTTCAAGAGTCACTTGTACTTTAGTTGGTACAGTACTAGATATAGGCACAAAGAAAATCAAAAGTACAATTATGAAAGTGTACACAGGGGTCCTAAGTTAGAGAAGTAACTTCAGAATGGTTTAATGAACTTACTGAACACTTGTAATTTCTTTTTGCTGCGCCTGGTTTTACCAAAGAGTATAGAATAGCAAGAGGCCCGAGTGCCTTGATTTTGCATGCAAAATGAAACAAAAAACAAAGTACCACCACGAGATAGGGGGCACCCTATTAGAATTCGAAAAAAAGTTCAAAACTCGAGCATGCTTTCTGTTGACACACCACATGTTTGATATATTCTTTTGAAGGGCACCCTCAAGTTCGTGGTAAGTACTTTTCAAAATATATGATTCCATTTCAAGGAAAACTTGACAGTCGGATCTCTTGAAATTCTATACTCTTTTGGCCAGGACTTTCGTGAGACAATTGGTAGCAAAGTAGTAAAAACATGCAAATACTATAAATTTGCGTGAGATTGGTTAATTTCTGGGAGCTTGTTGGAGAGAGGGAGTGCGTCCTTCCCGGGAGACTACGATGAATTGATGGAGCCTTGGGACCCCTGTGTATAGACTTTTCAGAGTGTTTCTGCTGATGTTGGTTTAAATGTCATAGTAATCTGCTTTATCAAATTGCATTTGGCTGGGGAGGGTCACCTAGATCCACCTTTGTTTGCCATACTCACCGGAGTTCCTGACAGGTGGTTCAAAGACAGCAATTGTATCATCTGATAGGAAATATGATATGATGAAGCGGCGGTCAACGTCAATTGGTTTGGTGGTATCCAACCGGGCGACAAAGCGTAGCACGTTGCTCTCTAGGCCATGTCTGAGCAAACAGAAGAAAAAAAACAATTAAGCAGAGAAAGTAGACAATATGGATGAGTTTCAGGGAGTTTGTATCAATGGACATTATGGTGACTAGATGATGATGGCAATGATGATGATCATTACTTATACTGTATAATTTCATAAAAAATAATCATTAATACTTTATCCTTCTTAAAAATGTATTTTGATGTCGGATTTGTGATTATTATTCAGTTTTGCATTGTCAAGGGAGTTGTTTACTTTTTTATAGCAAATATACCTCTATAAAGTATGTCACTCCTCATACTGTTTAAATGTCATAGTATTAGAGGAAGCCTGAAGGCATAGCGCCTGAAATCTATTGCAGATTAAAGATTATTTATCAATTTAAGGTAATACTGTAGAAACATCAGAGTTAATATTTAAATCTTTCTCTAAAGCTGAGATTTAGATCTGAGCTCTCTCTTACCTGTCTTTCTCCATGAACTTGATGAAATCTCTCTTGGGAGGTTTAGGCAGAAGGCCCTTGCATGAGCAGAGTGAATCTTCCTCCGAGCCAAAGCCAGTGTATGGTGGCCATTCATGTTTCATTGGCTGTCCATTGGATGAGTGGATATTCAGAGGCATAAATGAAGCTAGAATAGGGGAAAATCAAACTCATTAACTTAATATATTATAAGTGTTTTATCATTTGATTTCACCTTAACACACCACATAATTAAAGTTAGAAATATATATTCCCTCTTGCTAAATGTGGTATCCTTAACTTTTAGAGTGCATTAAATCAAAATAAAATTAAGTAAATACTTACTTATACCATACTTAGTGGAATAATATTCTTTAGTAAAATCATCACAGTCTGTGAGGGTAAGAGTGCGCCCCCACAAATTGATCTTGGAGCCAATTCGGAGATCACTGGCATGGTAGCACTCACTGTGGATTGCGCCGGTCTAAACATAAAAAATATGATTACATAATTATTTTAGTTAAAACGTTACGACTTGACTCCATAGCTATTAAATTGATTGTGACAGATGGGAACGGTGAGTTTGAATGGTTGGAGATATGGTAGTTTATGGTAGTTTTAAAACCAGGATAGATTTTTGATCTCTTTTGTAGATGGAAGTCCTTACCTTTAAACTGTCAAGTATATATCTTCCTCCATGCCCCATTGGTCCAAACACATTGAGCACAGTTCGGCCAGTGACTTCTCCTGGTTGTGACAGTGCCTCCGGCGCTGCCTTCGGGAGACGGCCTCTTCGGAGGAACATTGCTGCGGCGTCCCTTCCTGCATTTGGGCGAATAATCTCCTTGACTTCAACGGTATCGTCAGCTAGGAAATAGTGCAAAACCATCTCACGGGCATCTCCGAACATGCTATCTTGGTCATCCCATATTCCGTAAAATCGCAGGACGTGACGATCGTGGTCCAGGAACTGTTTCAGTGTGTCAACCTTTTCATAGGGCCGCAGTGGCTGCTGTGTTTCATCCATCTGCAGTTAATAAAATAAAAAAGATGAAAAATAATTTGAAAAGAAAATGTTACATTGATTCCAGGGTTCTGGGTTGAAGATATTAAAATTTCCAGGATTCCTTCATTATTAATATTTATCATAAATTCATTCATCATCCAATCTTTCATTTTTTATCACCACTACCAGTTATGTGGGAAGGGTGGAGGGCAGTTCTCCAAGACAAAAAAAAAATTAAAACATTAACAACATTAAAATGGAAAACAATATTATTAACCTACTCTTTCTGGGATTTGGGAATTTAACTACAGGAAACGCAGGACCTTTGGGGCTAGCTTCGCCCCAAAGTCCCTGCCATGGGCTCTGCCCCTGGACTCTGCCAGGTGCCTCAGCCGGCCCCTTATACCCCCCCAATTTTGGGCATTTTTCATCTTCCATACATACAGCCAATACTAGAATGATTGATGTATATTAATCATTGTATGATTAATGTATATTTATTACACAATGATTTATTGAGTGGTTCATTCTGTATTAATCTATTCATTCATTTATTCATTCACTAAATTTAATTATTAATTGATTCAATTATTCACTCATTCATCATTCATTCAACCAACCATACACCCGTTTATTCCTTCATTCATTCACTCTATAATTCATTCTCTTCATCCTTTCCCAACCAGCCAATCATTTTAATCATTTATTCATTCATTAAAATTATCCATTTATTTATTCATTAAATCTTACACCAATTTATTTTTTCATTCAGCCATTCATTCATATTCATTTCATCATTCATTCTTTCATTCATTCGGTCATTCACTTAAGTATTCAATCTTTCATTCGTTCATTCATTAATACAATTAATTCAATCATTCATTTAATTAATCAATCAATCAATCAGTCATTCAAGTATTCATTTACTAATTCATTCATCCATCATTCCCCCCCCACCTTATTGAAATCACAAATATATATTTGATTTAATTTATTTAGTTCTCTTGGTGATGAATGTTATATTATTTTGGCTACAGTTTGCTTTAAGTTGTAATGTACTTACAGTTTTCCTGTGATCTGTGTATGGGTCACTTGGGGAACTTACAGGACCACTAATCCTCACCCCAAGCTTACGTAAAAAGTTGTATGTGAATTGATCGCATTCTGTTATCTTGAATGTCCGCCCATAGAATGTGATCTCCTTGTTTAAATTGAAGTGTTCAACCGTGTAGAATTGGTCATCATTAGGCGGTGGTAGTGGAATTCGATGACGTCGGATTAAAGTACCTGATGACAATAATAATATTTTATACTTATTTGTGAGGTCTATCCACAAAAAAAAAGATATGCATGGCTGGTGAAATCATATTGACATAATCACCAAAATAGTCAATATTTAAAGATGAGACCTTAGATACTAATTATTTGGATAAAGCTATGCATTTGAAAGAATATTTATTTTACAAAGAATATGTAAAAGTGTTAAAAACATAAGGGAAAGATTTACATAACCAACATCAAAAATAAATTGATTGCGTAACGAAGAAATGAAAATCAATAACTAGATATTCAACACTGTAGGCTAGGCTCTAACTATATTCAACATATAATTTAAAAGTTTATAAAAATCATTAATTTACTGGAGGAAAAGCATATTAATGAGTAGGCTAAATTTGATTAAAATTTTGATAAGACTGAAAACTACCTTGTGGTATACCGCTGTTATTAACTAGAGGTTCAATGACTTGAATGGAGTCATCTTCTAAGTAGAAATAGATTTTGCATTTCCTAATGCGGTACTGCTCTTCACGTTTCTCATGCACCGCTTCTTGGAAGTAAGCATCAAATTTCAACACCTGTCTGTCAAACGCTACCCAGGCTGGCGCTGCATTACCTTCACCTTGAGGGATCCTGCTTAGCTGAGGCTTAGGTTTTTGACCGACGAGTTTTTCTCCTCCGATACCAGGTTTATATTCACCAACAAACATGGAAACATCATTGCATTTGCCAAACTGGTGGGACTTTCTAAAATTTGATTTTCCAATCTGTGAAGTTTAAATAATCGATTAAAAAGACATTGATGATAAAAAAAAAAGAAAAAAGAAGCCTACTAGGCCTAGGTCTCCCAAGCATATCCTAGACTTAATTAATAGGCCCTTCTTTTTGGCCTAATAATAGCCAGGTTTAGTTATGCCTAACCTACCTAGATTCATACATAATAACCACCCGCAGCTCTAATTTTCTGAAGTAGGCTTGGCATAAACAAGAAGCTAGCTAGTCTAGGACTAGGGCCTAGGATGATGATGGTGTGCCTGTTTTGGTATTAAATTATAAAGTGCTAGCATGATACAGTCTGCTGACAACCACACAAGTTGTCAGCCTTCTCGATATCACTATATAGATAGGCCTATCCTAGGCTACTAGAGTAGGCCTAGCTAGATAGAATGAACTCAAAAACTTACATTTCGATTAAATTCGTTTCCTGGAAGGAATGGAAGTGACATCTTTGTATTATAACAGTATTTTCAATAAATTTTAAGGATGCTTTCGTTATTGATGTTTTCTGGTTGTCGTGTCTTTCCTGTATCGACAACTCATAAACTGCCCGGAGACGACAGATTTGTTTGCATGGTTGCTAGGTAATCGCACAGAGTGTTATTTTTACGTGTTTTCAGATTAGTAAAACTTTAAAAATGCATTCAGGCCAAGATATTCAATAGTATATTAAGCACAAATAAATAAAATATATATTTATAATAAATTATTTAATTCCAATATACAGTAATTCGTATAAATAATTTACTTTCAAACTTCAAATATCAAACTATTATAGAGGGCGGTATGCATATTTTATTTTTGTTGTGTCAAAGTTCAACGTGAGAGAAACAAAACTACAAGAGGGATTTAAAAACACGTTTTTTCGAGGTTCTGATCAATTGTTTTTTCTTTCAAACATTTATTTTATTGTTAAAAAATTTATAGTCTCGTATTTCTAGTAATTTTTAGGAAGTATATATAAAATGAACTAGGGCCTAGGCAGGCCCCGGGGGGCCCAGGCTAAGCCTACCTCTAGGCCAAACCAACCATCCATGCATCCAGACAAGCTACTTACAATCTAGGCTAGGCTACGTAGGCCTAGGCCTACTGATAGGCTCCTGCCGAGTTATCCTGCCTGGTGGTTGTGGCCCTGAGGGAGTACCAAGTAGGTTGGCGCTAATGCACTTTTGCACTTCAACTTAACAATAACATGGCGAAACTTGAGTTTGGTTAGGGTTTAGGGTGGAGTACTAAAAAAAGTGCATTAGCTAGCGCCGCGGCTAGGCTTATTATAGCCGGGCCTCGGATAACTGAACTAGGCTAGGAGAGTGAAGCAGGTACTGGCCTGCGCGGGAAATGTATCCTCCGCACAAAAATTTGGCCTACTAATCTGCCCGCGCATTTTGTGAAATAAGGGCCAATTTCCATGCAGGTTTTGCCAAAAATTTAATCTTTAAAAAAAAATCATAAACAATGTATTAATTCATGCAGTATTTACGATTCCGCGCACCTTTTCCTAGCTATTATCCATCTTTATAATATATCTTCCAATCATGCAATTAAATACTTTACAGTATGGTCAACGTACAGTAACCTATTTATTATTGTGTTGGATCTGTCCCGACTCATAAGACTGCATCAATATCAGCAGAATACTACACATATTAACACAGTACTCTTTAACGAGATGGGAGGGGTCGTGCTGAAGCCTACACGCGGCGGCCCTGTTAAAACCAACGCTTTGGTGAACCGATTCAGCACATCTAGTCCAAATCTGCGACAACACCACCACAGTCAACCTGTACACATAAAAGATGTACCTTCAACTGCATTCTGCAGACGTTTGGTTGAAGACAGCTCTTCCACAGTGATTTTGGACTTCAACGAAGATGAGAGCAATGATAAATCATGTTGGAATGTCATACAACACTGCCCATAAGCAGTTAAAATATTTAATTATATTTAAGACCATTTATCTTTGATTTCTAATAATAATTATATATATATACAGTATATATGCTGTCTCTTATACACATCTTATTGACATAATCACCAAAATAGTCAATATTTCAAGATGAGACCTAAAACCAACGCTTTGGTGAACCGATTCAGCACATCTAGTCCAAATCTGCGACAACACCACCACAGTCAACCTGTACACATAAAAGATGTACCTTCAACTGCAATCTGCAGACGTTTGGTTGAAGACAGCTCTTCCACAGTGATTTTGGACTTCAACGAATGAACAAGATGAGAGCAATGATAAATCATGTTGGAATGTCATACAACACTGCCCATAAGCAGTTCAAATATTTAATTATATTTAAGACCATTTATCTTTGATTTCTAATAATAATAATTATATATATACAGTATATATATATATATATATATATATATATATATATATTATACACACAAAATTTAATAAATAAAAAAGACATTAAATTAGTAAAATTATATTCTTTTTTAGGCAGTCTTTAAACATAGTCAAGGACTTTGCCTCCATTCCAGTATATTACAGTATTATTTTATATTTATTCAACAGAAAGAAGAATTTAGCGAAGATACAATATCTACTGTTTAGTGTAATGCAAACTCTTTGCGTTGTAATTGTATGGACAAAGAATGCCAAGTAAAGTAGATCCATGCCAGTCAAAAGCGTGTGACATTCAAAAATGTTTGCAAGGTAAAAAGACATTTGAACTACCTACCATATTTATTTGAATAAATGCCCCAAGAATAAACTCCCCTCCCCCTTGCATAAATTCCCCCTCCCGAACCTCATTTGTTATAGATGCCTCCCTTGAATACACACCCTCTAAATGACAAAACTAATGAAAGTGTCAACACATTCTATTAATGTTCTACTCCAGTAGAATTACATTGTTTTCTAACCTGGTTGGGATCAATAAGTCTTTATGATCACGCAATAACATATTTTGACTGTAATAATGTATTGTAGTTCCACATTTACAGTGAAAGGCGTGTATATTTGAGTAAAATATGTTTATCCATTTACACCAACAAAGTAAACGCCTCCCTTGAATAAACGTCTCCTCAAAAACCCTTCTTAACAATCAACACCCCTGAGGAATTATTCAAATAAATATGGTATTTTACATGCTCTTCTTTGTCGGAAGCGGTTTGGTGCAGCGCCGCAGCAGGAACGGTTTGGTTCAAGGTTGAGGTTTCAATCCCTTACTGTGCATTTCGCTTTTGCCCCCCTGTGCAAGGCACCTTATCAGCATTGCTTCTCTCCACCCAGGAGCATAAATGGGTAGCTGGTGGGGTTGCCTGCTCCTGCGCTGATTATAAGTAGCAACACTTAAGCATGTGGACACAATGACCAGGCAAAAAACTGTGCTTTATAACCGCAAGGAAGAGGCGCATTATAGATGCCTATACTAGTACCAGTACATTAATTTCAAGGCAGCGGCTGGCGTAATAAAAATAAAGAAAAACTTTTATTTTTTTCTGAAATTTTCATTCTTTTGTGATGGTGGATGCACTAATTGGCCAAAAATAATATTTTATTTTTATTGGAAATGATCATTATTGGCAGATGGCGGGTATGCTAAACAAGGTATAGAAAAGTCTTACCTGATCACTTTAAAATGACAAAAATTGTTCAGTTTCTCTACGCACTTGGGGCTTAGCCCTTATGATGCCTGCATGAGAATTAACAGACAGTTTTTCTCCCTGAATCCTTAAGCCACCACTGGGAACACATGTCAAAACTATGCAGACCATTTGTGCAGAAATACAGTCATTATATTTTTCATACTGGATGTTGATGAAAATCACAGGTTTTAATCCTAATTTTCTTATCTTGTCCTCAGCTAACAACTACAAAGAAGAAGCTTGCGAGCAGGTAATTAATGCGATGATCAAATGCTGTGAAAAATATCAATCCAATCAGTCTGTTGTGTGCTCCGGGTTTAGGAAAAACCAAAAGCAATGAACCGTCTGCTTAAGCACTGAAGATCAAAAAGGTAATTAAAAGTATAAATTATGAGTCAAAAAGTAAACAATTTTTATTGAGTAACACTCTGATGATGGGACACTTCCATAGAGCAGCTTCACTCAGAGAGAGCAGCTTAGCTCATTCAGCTGCACTGGTGGTGACCCTTGAGTGTGCGCTGAACTGTGGAGATCTTTTGGTCCTTGATTCAATCCTACCTGCTGCTCTCCTTGTGTTCAGTTGGCTGAAATACAAGTTTTAATAGCACACCGTTTTTTGTATTCAATATGGCCCATGTGTATGTTAAGAAATGGTACACTCTTTGGAAAAGAAAGAGTAGGGATTGTCTCCTGGTGTACTGCCCAGTCACCACCAGAAAGACCCCTCTGAAAATAATTCTTCTTCAGACTTTTGTGGGTTATTTTTAGTGTTTACACTAAATATATCCAATCCACTTTTACAGTGTTTTCCCGAAGCCATTTAACTGTCAATTTTACCGGTAAAAGTAACTGGCCAACCGGTAAAAATGTTGAAATTGTAAAATAATAAAACCACTGATTAGGCCACCCACTCAAAAGGAGTAACGCCTCACACTGTGTGCATGGCTGAATTTTTAGGGACAAATTTACCAGCAAAACTGTTTCAATTGGGAGAACACTGCTTTAGATTGTGAACAGATCATAATCCCTGTAGATTGCAAATTCTTTGTGTAAACAGTCCAAGGATCGTGATCATAAGCAACACAAGAAAGTTTGGTAATAGCGGGCTGTGTGTACAGTTTATTGATTGAAATTTCATATTTTTGCAGATAAATTTCCAATTGCTGAGTATAATATACTAGACATGGATCCCACACTTAAATGTGATCCCAGGAGGAATGCATTCACCTTAATGGAGAAGGAGTATTTAGTTGACTTGGTTGAAGAACACAAACAAATTTTGGACCCACTGATTCGCTACAATGACTCAATGACCGTATTTAAACGGAAACAGTCTTGGAAATTAATCGAGAAGAGGTACAACGACAAGTTCAAAGAAAATCCAAGGGATATTGATCAGCTCAAGCGAATGTGGTCAAAGATAAAAGTACAGGTTAAGAAACACATGAATGTGGCAAGGAATGAAGATAATGTGTGGACCCTAGCGAGGGCGATGTTTCACAAGCATGTGCGTAATGTGAGGGATGACAGTCAGAAGAAAGACGTCAACCTTGAATCAATAGTTGCGCAGATATCCGCAAGGAAGGATCTTGTATCGAGCCACACTGAATCTGAAACAAACGGCTCGCAGCATGAGAACAGCACTCCACATACAAATGTGTCTTCAGATGATGATTTGATAGTTCTGAATGTCACAGAAAATCGTTCTAAGCCTCCTGCAAACAAAGCTGGCCAAAGTAACCCAGAGGTGGTATTGAACAGCGAACCTGTAGCAAATGCAATTATACCAGTGACCTATCCAACAGCTAGCCAGGATAAGAACAATTATGTGTGTACCCAGCAGGGGGAGGCTGTGCCAACAGATAGAACACCAAATCAATTTTCAAATACAAACTATCAGAACACAGTTGAATGTAATGGCATAAACACAGACAATTACCAAAGTCAACAGATTCCCAGTACTGATCATTTGACTCCATTTGAATACTGTCATGACCTTTCAACCTCAAAATCGTTAGAGAACACGGGGGAATATTCACTTTGGCACAATATCCACTCCCTTGATGATAGGTTAACTCAGGAAGACTCGCTATCAGATACTAGAGGTGCGAATATCCGAAACAAGATCTCCAGACGTCGCCCGCATGGATTAGGGACCGATTGTTACATCAGCAGAGGTAGGGTTACAAAAGCTAGACGTGATGGTTATAGGCATCGTTTCTTAAAGCGTAATGGAAATCGCCTGATGCAAAATGATATACGGATTGGCAAAAGATTAAGCCAACGAGAAGAGGATGAGAGGTATGAAGAAGGTGAAGGAGACAATCAATTGAAAGAGAAAGACTTTTTAAGTGAGAGTTCGTACAGGAAGCGAGTACTTGAGCTTGCCGAGGAAGAGCACGCTGAGAAGATGCGTGTTTTGAAATTGAAATGCGAGGTGCTTGAGTTACAAAAACGCGAGCTGGAGAGCAAGTTGCAAAAATGATATGCTGTAAGATAACATCATTGGTTTTATTTGCATTGTAGTGCTGTTGGTAAACTAAGCATGGAGAGACTATCCACTGCTCTTTTCCAGAGTGTAATTTTTAGATGCACATGAGCCATGTTATAAAGAGAACTAGTTAACCACAGAAGTTTGGCTCACTCTACGATTACCTACAGAATGCATGAGTGATGAGGTGTGCGCAACATAACGTTTCAATGACAATCCACTCAGTCAGCAGACGGCGTTACGTCATCAAGCGCTCACAGAGAGCACATACAGGTTCATCGGTCGACGGTTGTCGATGCAGTGTATGCTTTAAATGTTTCTTCCATAAGACAGTGCGCTGTAACCAGTATTCTGGAACAGTAGCTTTATAATATAACTAGGGTCAATATGACAATACAGTAGTTGAGCACAATCAGTACACAGGTGGTAAAGCAAGACTTTCTTACCTTGTAATAATAATAATACCTTGATTGAGAAAACAATTTTTTCCATCCAAGGATAGTTTAAAGGTTTTCTATCACAAGGTATAAACAGGTTCGCCTTGCCACTACTTTTAACTACTGTGTTATATCCTTTCATCTGAAATGTATGGAAAGGTAGCTCTAAAAGGTACAACATAAGTTGTTAACATAAATACGTTTCTGTATTACGTAAATTGTTCTCTGTTCTTTTGTATCATTCATTAAAATGGTATTATTCTTGTCATGAAGTTTTCTCATTTTTTTCATTACTGCTAAATTATGACGTATTAAAATTTACTTACCGGTAGACAAGCCTTTTTTAAACATTTGTATATTGTTGTATAGTGTCAGACAATATTTGGATTCAATGTGTTGCCTGAAGCCCAATTGAGCCAAAATTTCAAAAATCTAGAGTATAATTTTTGTTTGTGGAAAAATTAAAAGTTTTTTTCAAGGAGATCAAACTATTTTTATTATGTCAAACAGCTACTTTTCTGGCTTTAATTATTAAAGACCATACAGTACCTTAACAGGTGTCTAGAAAACTGAGATCTCAGTTTTAGAAAACTCAGATATCTTAGATTTCAAGAACTAGAAAACCCAGATCTTTAGTTAACAGACCATTTTTTGGAGGGAAATTTTAACTAAAACAGGAAGTTATAAATACAGGGGAATTTCCACTGGACCCCCTCTAAGTTCAGTGGTGAATCTAGGAGTTTGGAAAAGGGGGAGGGGACATGAAGGTGAAATGGGGGTTCAATGATTAGGTGCTACTTTAACCATGGAGACCTCTGGCCCAGTGCCATTTTACAATTCAAGATGTTCTGGGATGAGTGGTGGTTGGCAGTGAACCTAAGGCAGTAATCATGTACAGTAGCAATAAATACATCATAGACATTTTTTTCTACCAGGTTCAAGCTTATTCTCATGTTGCAGAGATAGCCAAACATACAGTACATAAGATACTATATAGCCTAAGATGACAAAAGTCAATTTCTGTAAGTGTGATTCTAACAGTAAACATAATCATAATCAAAATTCCTAATCCTAATCACAATCACTGGTCACACAAATTATCTTTAAACACTTTGAAAGGAATGTTTGTTTTTTTTAAAACATTTTACTGTCTATTTATTTGTAATTGTAAGGTATACATGTAAAGAATTTTAATAAAAGTCTTGTTTTAATTTTGAATGTCAGGTCTTTCTTAACAAATTTTGTCAGTTATCAGTATTTATAAACAATGATCTATATATATTTTTTTAATTACTGTGTAATAAGCCAGGATTTGAACCAGGCCCCTTAAGCCTCCTACAGTATATGTGTGCTCAACCAACTGCATCACAGCAGATATGTTATATCAAAATTTTCCTTTTGTCTTTTTAAAAGTTTATTTCAAATTTCATATCACTGACTACTTATTTTTGTTTGCTTTGCTGTCTGCTATACTTTAGTGGTTTGTTATATTTCTACCTTGATAGTCTGGTATTGTCTGGCTTTAGTTTGATTTGTTTCATATTGGCTGGCCAAAATCCATTGTGTGTTAGTTAACATGTTGTTTTTTGTGGCCAGCTAAAGTCCTGTTGTATTAGGGCCGTGACTATTAAGCTCTTTATGTCGGCTGCTTCCAAGTCTGCCATTACCACAACTTGGCTGGCTTTGCTATGCTGATGTTACTTTTTGTGGCAGGCTAGAGTTTTTATTGTGTGGGCCTTGGCAACCTTATGTCAACTTGAGCAGATTGTTCCGGCTTATCTCATTACAACACTTGGTGAGGTTACTTCCTTTAATAATTCCTGAGCATGTAGTGTTTTAACAACCTGCTTATGTACACCTCAGAACTTGAGCTGCATTTTGCTAAGAAATAAATCATATTTTATTTATTAAAACAATGTAATTAAAATCAAATTAGTATCAATTTATAAAACACAATTTAGTAACTATTTTATAATTATATTATCTCATTTAATTATTCATTATTTGATAACATCTATACATACAGTATATGTACTGTATACATAATAATAATTATTTAATTTTCCTAAATTGTTTCTGTGATTTCTTAATATTTTTGCTGTTTATTTCTGAACATTACACCAGTCTTTGGAATTGTGTAGTACTTTATTTCATTTAAAAAGGCAATTTTAAATTCTTCAAAAGAGTATAATGATTATTTATTTTTTTTCATTTCTTTATTTCAAAATCACACTCGCAGTGAAACACTGAATTGCGGCAATAGTAATTAAATGAATTAATGAAATGTTAATTTTTCAGCATAGATACGTTTCAACCTTCAAAAAAATTTATTTATTTATAAGGAGTTACAAACTCATTTCCTTTCAGTCTAAATTACTGACAAAACTAACAAATATCAATGAAACATGAAATAGTACTACGTTTTGAAATTCATATTCATAAAATATCATTAAAGTTACAGTTCTTTTAGGGGTTGTTCACAATTATCAACATTTTCAAAAGTGTACAACAGTACTCTTTCAGTACCCCCTCCCTCTCCTCTGAAAGTGAACAAAAATACGTTAATTTTGCAAAACCATTCTCCATTTTTTTGTGACGTCAACTAAAGCAATGTACTTGGTTGCTTAAAAATGAATATTACTGTATATCCATGATTACATCATAATTTTACCATTACTCTACGTATTGCATGTTATTTTAAATCAACATTTTATGCATATGTAAGAGTGTGCACATGTACTGTTGGCACACTTGTGAAAATGGTGATAATGTTAAACGACCCCTTGATAAAAAAAGATGTGATTATACTGGTATCTGTGATCAAGTAAAATGAAAGTTGTCCTTTTTGTGTTCGTTCCAAATTTATTTTATCGAGGAAATCATCATCTCAATTTTAAAAAGAAAACCAATATAAAGAAGAAGCATTTTAATATTTTAATTAATTCAGTTACGATATTTGTAAGTACAGCATAATTAAAGGTTAAATTAAAACTTATGTAGTCATATAATTAATTTAAATGTGAAATAGTACTACATTTTCAAAGTTCATATTCATAAAATCTCCTTAAAGTTATAGTACTTTTTTAATAGTAAAAGATGTGATTTGCAATCCTACAGGTAATCTGTGATCAACAACCAAACTGAAAGTTGTTCACGTTTCCGTTGCCTTTAAGAATGTTTTGATCAAGAAAATCATCTCAATTTTAAAATATAAACAAATATGTAGAAGAAACATTCTAATATTTTAATTAATTAAATCATTTACGATATTTGTATAAGTACAGCATAATTGAAGATCAAATTATAACTTATGTAGTTACACATTTATTTATAATAAAAAGCTGGTGACCCCTTAAGTTATGATCACAAATATAAAAGAATGTTTAAAGATTTGTATGTCAACAACTTTAGACATCAAAAAGACATAGAATGCAAATTTTGGCATTTTTTCTGGCATAATATATTTAAAGAACACAATAGAAAGGGGAAGATTGACAGAATGCAACTGGTAGGGGAATAGTGCAATTGCTGTACAGTACGGAAAATGATTGAAGTATTACCAAAGCTGTACACAGTGCAGTATATCTATTTACAGGGTCACAAGGTCAAATGCACTACAAATATCTATGCCTACAAATTGTACAGAAAAAGGTCCAGAAAACTGAATTTTACATATTTTACTGTTGTTCATCAGCCAAGTTTAGCGCCCTCTATTGACAGACAGCTTAAAATACAATACAGTATTACTAATTAATTAAAAAACATTCACAAGACAAATACTAGAAGCTACAATCTATCTATTAATATAATAATATTTTATTATCTTTAAATAGTTTTATCTTGTGTCTATGTAAGGTATATACACAATGTTTAATTCTTTGTGATAATATAGTATTAAACACTTTTCAATTGAGTGAAAAAAATTTTTTCAGTTTCATCGCAAAGTACTCATTTCTTAGGTTTGTTTTAAGTGATTAGGCCAACAAAGTGAAATTTTGAAGTACAAACATTATTTATTATACATAAAGTATATTTCATACATAAAATCTTTGCCATTCCTGTAATGAAATTACAGGATGGGAGGACGCTTCTCAAACCATCTCATATTTGTTCATGTTGATCATGCGAGCCAAACAGCAAGTCAGAAAAACACCAAAGCCCTGAGGAAAAAATTTTTAAAGTTTACTAGAAGAAAACCTGAATGTGATGGAGGAAAATTCTCAATGGTTAATTGTATCAACCTTTATCTTCAACTTCATCCTACACTTTTCATACCATTAACCACTGCTTGGCCATTCTGTGGCAAACCAATGTACAGTAACATAAAATTTTCACTTTCCGAGAAAAATTGTCGTACCCTTCTGAAATTTTTCATGACTACTGTGTATATATATATATATCATATGCATTATTTTGCTTGTGCATACATCGTTGTTAGGATTATTGATATGAAAACACCATTAACCAGTTGATTTTGCTGAATACCATTCCAAGGCAAAAAACAACATATCTTCATTATAGATACATTGTTTTGCAGTTACGTCATTTTATCACGGAAAATTACTGGTTTTTAAGTTTTGTGCTTAAAGATAAGTGGTGCTATCTCTGAAATGACTCGTCATTGAGACATGAAATTTTTACAGCTAATTCAGCAGTTTTTAATATACTGTACACCCAAATGGTATTATCTCAAAATCAACAAAAATGTGAGTTATGTTGCCTTGCCTCTGGACGGCCATGCAGCAGGCCCAGAAAAGTATTTTGTGCAATTTATTTTCTGTGATATACAGTTGGACATTATTTATTCATTGGTATGGACAAGTTATTGACATTTTTGTGGTTTAGGTGTATGAACCTGTTTATGACAGTAGCTTATCAATGGTGAATGATCATGTATTTTTATAGCACCTTCCACAGAAAAAACCGTCTCAAGGCGCTTTTATTTGTATCGACAGGGAAGGGCTGGGGGTGCAGTTTTTTTTTGACAACATAAGTATGCATCTTTATTGATTGAGGGATTAGGCTTACCTGGAAGAAAGCGAATCCTAGAGCACTGCCACCAATCACTGCAAAGTTACTTGCTAGAAATTTATTCACTTTAGAATAACAACCCTGATGAAGAAATATTTGAAGTTAAAGTCTTTGAACTCATGGTTATTATTGGTATATCTCACACTGAATACTGTACCGGTAAATCAAATCTAATTCAATTCAGATTAAACTACCATATACATTCGAACATATACTCCAGGGCGTTCATTGTTGAGAAGGGTTTTTGAGGTGGTGTTTATTTGAGGGAAGCCTTTATGTTTTTTTTAGTGTAAATGGATACGTATATAGTAGTAACGCCCCTTAGTTTCACTGTAAATGTGGTACTACAACACATAATTACCATCAAAATGTGTTATTATGTGGTCACAAAGACTTATTAATCCCATCCAGGTTTAGAGAAATGTAATTCTGCTGGAGAACAACATTAATAGAACGTTTGCGAATGGTGTTTCCATTAGATTCGTTTAGTCATTTATTTGGGTGTTTATTTAAGAAAAAAAAAATTAAGCCCTGTGGTGCTTTTTGCAAGGGAGACTCTAGAGGGGGCGTTTATTCAAAGCGGGGTGTTTATTTGAATAAATACGGTATATTACATAAAATATTGTTAAACCAATAAATCAAACTTTTGAAAAATGGAAAATTCTTTTTCCACTGGGAAAAAACATGCAACAATATTAAAATGTCATTGTAAAAACATGATAATACACCAAAAGAACTATGAATATGAACTATTTGCTTAAATTTAAAATTAATAATTATTTTGATATTTAAAAATTTGTTTAAAACATATAAAATATTTAAAATTTGTAGTGCAAGCTGAATAGCATGAATCGTTTTCGTTTGGCATTTTGGTTGAAGACATGTACTGCGTTGTATAATTACAATTGAATCTCAGTATCTACTGTATCGTGTCGAGTATGTGGAACATATAATCAAAGAGTATAAATAGAACAAGAGAGCAAAGTCCCGTTCGTAAAAACGTCATGCCTGTGTAGGACGCCAACTAACGGTTGTATATTCTTTTTATTACCCAGTCAGCGCTGCGCAGCGCGGTAGAAGTACGCCCGCTATAAACTCAGTAAGCAGAAAACAAAAGCACAGTATCTTGTGGAGAACAGATAAACAGACAAACCTACAGTGCGCGGTGCAGTACATCTAGATGTGTATAAGAGATATATTTTATTATTTCAGTGACATTCAATTATACAGTAACTAGATTGTCGTTTTTTTAATGAGCACATCATTATTATTACACTAATAGATTCAACCTTTCATAGCATCCCCTGGGTGAGTAAAGAGCATAATTAAATATACAATCTATTAATGACAAAGCAGGACAAAAACGGAAACCTACACAATACTATTTCAACTTGCAGTTCGTTAAAGATATTGTGTATATATATACAGTCTCCTGTAAAAGCAGGATATTGAATTTCTATTCCAAAGGATCAAATTTAATTATGTTTGAATATCTTATAATCTTACAAATCTTTTAATTTTATGAAATAGTACAATTTCAATTTGTGTACCTTTTAATTGGCAAGGAAAAAATCTTCGTTCTAATTTCTTGCTAATTTAATACTTAAATAAAAATAATTCAAAAGTGATATTTATTGTTCCTCATTAACAATACTACTCTATAAATATTCATTTATCAAAAATAACAAATTGAAGTGGTTAACATTATTCTTATTCTAAGAATATTTGTATTTGTTTTTAAATGAATTTTAAAATAATTAAATCTGTGAACATTTTTTAAAAATATATGTAGTTTATAATTATACACAGTATATTCAAGGTCTTTTATTTATAAAAAATATAAATGTAATACAATCACTAAGAAGAGTTAAAATTTTATAAACTGTACAGTGCAAAAATTCAGAACATCCACAACAAATTACATAAAAAGAACAAGCAAGACATTAAAAGGCAAGTAACAATGGATAAAAAAGCACAGTACAGTACATAAAACCTAATTAAACTACCTTAAAAAAACATAAAATTATAAATCAATTAAAAAAAATTAAACATTTAAAAAATATGTGAATAATAGGAGCTTATCAAGAACACGTTATTGGACATGAAAAAAAATTATTAAAAAAATTAACATAAAATCAGCAAAACCTTAAATTTACAGTAATATTCAGTTCAATTCTAGCTGCGGTTAATCCACTGCTACATGACAAAAGGCCTTTTTATTAATTATATTAATTATTTAAGTCACCATAGGGAAAAATATGAGCATTAATGCATGTAGGCCCACTTGTTTTTGAAGAAATTTGCAAATAATCCGCAAAACCAGTAAACAGGATATTACCATTAATATCCACAGCGCAATATGCATTATAAAAAATATACAGCAGGGAATCTGACGTACTGAACACATACAGACAGACACAAGACATAACTAAATCCAGAATCATGTGACAATAAATGAAGTACAGACGCTGATGGGGTTCCTGCTGAGTAAGTAATCTAAGTTCTTATGACACATTCCTTATGACACATTTATTAAGCCTATATTTTTTGGCTGATTCTACAAAGAAAATATCCAGATCTCTCTGCTCTTTTGTTAAGAAACATGCATTACCTTATATACATTTAGATACATCTAATTCAAGTAATACAATTTTATAATTTTTTTTTTATACCATTAAAAGCATGATAAAAATGAGGTGGTCTAAAAAAAAGCAATGTGGTACTATTTGTCTGGTAAAGAACAATTAAATATTTTGTGGGTTAAAACATTCTGATACCAATTTTCCATGTTGGACAGACACCCCAGTTGGTGCTTGTGTTTCTCACTTTTGTCTGCCTTGGCAAACCTGGAATTTGTGGTTGTTTTTTCCGCCTTTTCTGTGTTCGTTTGCTATTCTTGTTTCTCGTTTGTTCTTTAATAAATTTTGATTGAATTCTTTGTAGTTTTGTTTTATTTTACTACTTTATGCTTGATTTTCATACGATGAATAAAAAGTATAGCTGCGTTAGTCTGTACAGTATAGAACAGTATAAAGTAAATAACAGCAGCACTTTTGAGACTAACAATATACAATTTATTCTCTAGCTTTCGTCCACACAGTGGACTTCATCAGGAGACTGTACAAATTGTTAGTCTCAAAAGTGCTGCTGTTATTTACTTTATATTGATTTTTATATGTAAATTGCCAAATAAATAAAATACATAAATAAACCAATAAAAATATTTATGTATAGTCACATGATCAACCTCCACAGACCAACAATGTTCTACAATCTTAACAACTATGAAATAAATCATAATTGGACACAACCTGATAAACACAGCAGTGAGGAAACCCAACAGTGAGGTCAGATTGGAGGTTAGATGTTGTCATTACTCAGCAGGTCCTAAACCACATGCTTTAATCATGACCTGAATGAATGATAAGTACATTGTTTGGATTTGCCAGTGCAAGAGATATTTTGAAAGGTATATAAAACAACTGAGTAACTTTTCCCTTATGCAAATAGAGACATCAGTATTTCCATGGTAATGCAGCTACCTATTTCCATGGTAATGCAGCTACCAACACCATTACATGTATTGTAAAATTTTGTTATACAGGAGCAATAAAAAATGAAATTTGAATTTCTTGCCCTACTTTGTGTGACCATGTTTTCATCAAACTCATGGATCCAACATGGTCCACATCATCATTATTATTAAATCATCATAATTATTATTATTATCATCATTATTATCATTCCCATCATTATCATACTCATCATCATAACCATTGTTACCACCACCATCATCATTATCATTATCACTGTCATAATCATCACCTATATCATTGGTATCATCATTACTACCATCATCGTTACCTATCATTATTTATCATTATTATTAACATCATCATCATCATCTTAACTTTCATCATTGTCATCAACACACCATCATCATCACATCATCATCCATCACATCATCATCACCTCATCTCCATCATCACTTTTCATTATCATGATAATCTATCACCTCATCATCATCATCACCTCATCATCATCACCATTTATTTCACTACCACCATAATCTTTATATCAGTGATCCATCATCATTTATGGAATATACACTTTTTTTTGTAAGAACCAGTAAAATTTTGCCCAGGCTCAGTGTTCTTATTTTTTGGCCAATTTCAGGCTCAAAATGTTCTTATTTTGTTCTTATGTTACACATTTTTCAAACATAGAAAATCATTATGGTACAGCAGTATACACTGTACTGGAATGCAGGTAAAAGTGGCCCTGGAAAAAATGGCCTGAAAAAAAAAGCCACTAAAAAAATGTCACCAGAAAAAAGGCCCTGGTAAAAATGGCCCCAAATGACAAGTAGGTACACCTCCTGTATTGGGCCTTACATAATCACACCTACTGCACATAAGGTACATATATATTATTTTGGTTTTTCTATTTTTATAAAAAAAAAAATCTCATTGGACATTTTACCTCAGCCTCAATTTGCTCTCATTTTGTTCTTAATTTCTAAGTAATTTCAGCCTCAATGTAAAAAATACTGTAATATAGCAAAAAACAAATCCTGAACTCTATGACCTCATAACTTGCAAGACAAGCAACCGGATCAATGTGGGATTTGTTTTCCGTCATCATGTTGTTGTTCACTGCTGTCTACTATATTAATCCTACTCTATGCTCTGAATTCTCAGATAACAAAACTACAGTCTGAACCCAATGTATATGTACAGTAGGCCTATAGAATACACTATTCTAACAGCAACAAACAGTATTAATAATGGCTTTATATACACTATTTCTTAAAATAATTGAAATATTTTTTAGTTCACCACTGAAAATATTATGTTTCAAAAGCTGAGTAAATATTGTGACTCTACATTAAAAGTGTAAATTATAATTACATTTTTAAAAAATTCAAAATAATATAGAATAATGCTTTTAACAGCAGCACACAGTTATAGTAATGGATATTTTATACACATATTCTAATATTTTTTAAAAGGAATCAAAATATTTTTTAACTCACCACTAAAAATATTATCTTTCAAAAACTGAAGAAAATATTTTAAATCTGAACTAAAAGCATAAATTAAAATTAATTTTTTTTTTATATTTAAAATTTTAAAATGCTTTTTGCTCACTACTTACATTTGACTACAAAGCAATATTCAGAATAATCAGTTATAACACCCACCATGCACATTTATATGTGGAATGCAAACGTGTCAAATTATTTTGTGAGATTGGAAATTATTAAGCAGTGTCTAATGTATGCTTACACTGCCTTGAGGAAGGAAGATTTGAGTTTCGTTTGAAGTAGAATGTAATACATTAGTATAAACTACCACATCAGTTGAGCTTGTTCAAATTCATCGACAATAAAATGTTTATATGATTAATATAATTTTAACAATTTAAAATACTAATAATAATAATAATTCATACTAATATATAATAATCAATTTTTTCATAATTCATTTCCTCTCATTGTCAAGGATGATGGCATTAGGCATAAATGATAAATACTGAATTTATAAATTTAAAATAATTAGCAATTAAATTTTGTGAAAATCCCAGGATTCATTCTAGGTTCGAATCCTGAAAAATTCCCGATTTTTTTTTAGATTTACAAGTACCACAGTTAATGAAGACATGGGCACAGGCTGGGTGGGGGAAGGGGTACTCATCCCTACCCCTATGGAGGCGAATCAGTTCTACTAAGTGAGTTCAATTTATACTATTAAAAATTGACCATTCAGTTTTCATTTTAGTTCTGCATTCTCAATTTTTACAGTAGTTTAATATTACCTCATGAAATAAATAAATTAATGTTCTACTCACTTCGGCATACATAGTCTTATTGGCAGCATCTACTCTGATAGGTTTATGGTCTTTCGCGCGTTTCTCACAAAGTTCACGATGAACGTCCTCATTACAGCAGCTCCACGGTAAAGTTGAGTTGCCATGGGAATCTGACCAGTTTGTTCCATCTTCAAACCAATCAGTATAATTATCTGTGCCACAACATTCCAACTGAAACACGATTTTGAAATTATAATGGGATTATAAAAGAAAATGATTTATCATAATTTATTTATTATACAACAAGATACAAGAAGAGATTTGGCGCAACAGGAATGGTTTGTGCACTTCACTTGTGTCCTTGAGCAAGGAACTTATCTGCATTGCTTCTCTCCACCCAGGAGTATAAATGGGTACCTGGTGGGGTTGCTTGATACTGCAACCAATGGCAGTAATACTTATAAAAGTGTGTGAACCTAATGGCAGGGAAAATAAAATGCGTCTTAACCTATAAGAAAGGTGCTACATAAATACTAAGTGATAGAAACAATTTTAAAAATTATTCATTTAAAAAAAATGTTGTCATACAAAATAATTCATAGAATATTAAAACATGATAACTATGCTTTTTTGTATTTCATGTCCACGTAGATAAAATTAATATTAAATATTCCAGCTTTTTAGTGTATATCCTGGAAGCATTCATGCAATGCAATGTTCAAATTCTGATTTATTAACTGCATATAAACCTCCCTTTGTCTACATTATTTTCATACAAGAATGTCTTTATTCTATAGGTATTTAATTTTCTTACACATGATTATAGGATCTGTCAAAGAGAAGAACAGGGGGAAGATGAGTCTATTCACTGGAGCAGGAATTCGGATTATGTGAATTTATTTTTTAGAAGTGATTTACTTGCTGTGTGTGAAAGACTTTATTCTGTACTTAATTTTTTATTAAACCAAAGCAAAATGGTGTATTATAAAGGTCTGTTTTTATGTATGCCTTTTTCTATATATAAGAAATGAAAAGACATTTTTTATACTTATTCTTTTATTTTATTTTTATTTATTCAACTTCACACTAGCAACATACAATAAATTACAATAAGATAAAGTTGCCAGTGAAGGAAAAAAGCCAACATTATAAGCATCTCTGATAGCAGCCAATCCCGAATTACACAGGTAACAAGAGAAAAAAACCGATATAAAGTTTTAAAATGTTACAACTAAAATCATTCCTGATGATGACATAATTAATGTCGAAATATTGAATCCCGACATGATGGCCTGCATTTCAATACTTGGAGTATGTATTATACTATCTTATCTGAGATTAATCAGTGGACTTTCGGTAAAATGGAAACATACACATAAAATAACAAACATTTCTCAATTTTAAGATACTTTCAGAAATTCATAAAATACTTTCCGGAATTATATTTTGACGTCTGAAATAAATTATGAATTATAATAAGAAAAAAGTGGGATGAGAGAAGTCATTGAATTTTTCCTCCCCTACACTAGGCCTACACAAGGCCTCCCTTGCTATTTGCCACTTTGATTTCTTACCCTTGACTGTAGTTTATCAAGGTAGTGATCTTGCTCTGTTCTGTCTGTGTAGTCATCAATTGCAGATTCAAGTCCATTACGAAAGCTCTCCTGAAGCTAGTTATAAACAAAATAGAATGATTAATTGCTGTGCAATAGGTAAAATATAATCTGATCATGGAAGTGAGCAATCTTGCCCATGATGGCTCCATACCCACATAGGATCTTTCTGACCCAGGAGGACAGTACCTGCAAGGGTCCTGTTTTATGTTACAGATTATTAATTAAACAATTAGATAATTATCTGACTTGATAAAGGGTTACGCCCGAAAGATCTCGTCTATTTTCTTAATAAATTTTGAGGCAAATCTGTAATTTTTTTTTGTTAGGTTAGGGTTAGGGTTAGGGTTAGTGTTAGGGTTAGAGTTAGGGTTTGGGTTAGGGTTAGAGTTAGAGTTTGGGTTAGGGTTAGGTAAAGTGAGATATGCTGAAACAAAGACTATTCCATTGAAGGTTTGAAGTTTTTCGGAAAAGTACTCGAAATATGATGGCTAACAACACAAGTAAAAAGTAACCTCCCATATTTTGAATTTATCACCATTAATTATTATAAATAATTACTATTTAATTATCATCACCATTACCATCACCACTAACCCACCATCGTCATTATCATAATCAGGTATCATCATCACCTCAGCCCTCACCACCACTACCGCAACATATCAACATCACCCTTCGCTGTCACGGCTGTTGTCGTCGTCATCATCATCATAATCATCATCACCATCACAACCACCACCATCACACTATCAAAACCTCACTTCAAATGGAATTATTAGATATCCATAATCAATAGCTACAGTACTAATGCCGTAGCCAGCTATTGGGACAGTCCCACACAATTTTTCTAATGGGTCCACAAAGAATGGGTCCACATTTTTAAAAATGGGTCCAAATTATGTAATTTAATGCACAAAATGAGTCCACTTTTGAAAAATGGGTCCAGATTTCTCATATTTAGCTTACAATGGAAAAATTTAAGAAAATGGGTCCACATTTTTGCATAAAATGGGTCCACATTGTTTGAATTTACGCGTAAAGTGGGTCCACCCTGATATTGTCCCACACTATTTGAAAATCCTGGCTACAGCGTTGCACCGTACATCTCCACTCTCCCTACCCTCATCCCTCTGCCCTATCCCCTCTTGTCAACTTACTGGGGAGCGGTACAAAAACCCACAAATTCCAGCTGATAGTAATGATACAAATACCATAAAAGTTAAAACTCCAAACTATAAAAAAAAAAAGAAAAAAAGAAATACAATATAATTATTATACATCTACTTCAATAAATCAATTTACAGTATATTTCATCATCAATTTTATTATGTTATTACTATTATCATACATAAATATTATAAAACATTAATGTATAATTCATACATGTATATTTACAAAAATAATGATGGCTAAAATCAACTATTTTGTTTGCCCAGATATACAGTAGTGAATTCAGTAATAAATAATTACAAAATATATAAAACAGCAATGATCACAAAGGAAAATGTTTCATACAAACATTGATAATAACTTTTAAAAATACATATATAAGGGATTAAAATTCTAAGCCTTTTATGAAAACAATGGAATTTTTTAATATTGTACAGTATTTTATAAATCTATTAAAATAAACTTTATTATTAAATGCAATATGATGATAATATTGCATAAAACTATGTTTTCAATGACTTTCTTAAATGGTTCTCCTTTAAGTGCCACACAGAAAGTACAGTACAGTATGGTCATGTAAAAATATATGAAAAAAAACCACCAAGCACTTAGTTACCATATGGTACCAAGGTCCATATTGTATGATGGTCAATGAAAATCTGGCAAAGATATGAAGTTTATCAATACACACCTACAGTGAAATATAACACTCTGCAGGTCTACAAATACATACGTACAGTATGAAATATTATAAAACCTAGCGTCATTATGTATGGTTGTAATTTGCGTTCAAAACTTAGCGGAAGTGAGCAAAGATTTGAGGAAACAATCATTTAAATGCGAAAATTATGTGCCATACATAAAAACAAAGGTCACATCTTAGAGGGTGGCCATACGTAACAAAATGATGCATACAAATAGGGATAGAGGACATGCTTATAATTTCCTTGCAAATAATGCAATTCAGGTTACAGGTGAGTTAGGTTCAATCCTGGTGAGTGAGTACTTAGTCTTTATACATCTGTCAATTTTAGAATCAAAGCGTTTCTCCTGAGGGTCTATTAGTGCAGGATGTCCCTGTCTAATTCACATTACTTTAGCTTTCTTCCTGCTCAGCATAGAAGGTTTCCTTCCTTCACTCACAATCACATTGATTATCATATTATTTAATTCTTTTTTTCATTTATTATAGCGCATACAATTTTTAGACTTCACTATTAATTCTAACAAATTCAAATGATACTTAAGAAAATTTATTCAGTAATATTTTTATTCATTTAATACTGAAATTAATGGGAACATGTTGGCTGCCAGCAATGAGTATGTTCACCCACAGGGTGTTGCTGAGGGCGCCAGGGACAAGTATACTCGTCAAAATCGGGGTAACATTCTAGCGTTTATAACTTGCTTGTTATCACATTGTAGAACCACAGACTCAACGACTGGTAGTTCGGGGAAGATATACCTAGACGATAACGTACAAATGACGTATGTATGTTTGTTATACAGTATGTGTTATGTTGCCGGTTGTCACTCGAGCGGTATCTGACTAAATAAAATTTCAAAATTTATGTTTGTACATGTACAGTAAACTTGTTTTGGCACACAGGAAGGAACCTTAAAATAAGGTCAAGCAGTCAACGTTTCAAGTGCCTTAAACATAAAATAAATAAAATCACAATTTTAAATAAAATTATTCAATTTATTTTTATTTAGAAAGAACTGTTTATAGTTTTATGAATTGTATATTATCATCTTCTTGAATTTCATGACTTTTTTTTCTATACTGATTTTTTTGTATTTAACTCATTAGTGGGCATAAAAATTGGTCGGAGGGCTAAAGTAAATTTTTAATTTAACACCGAGGGCCGCACCAAAACTTTGATGTTTCCAGTGTGATTCCAAAAACCTCCAAGCATTGCTTTTACAAAACTTCATTCCCAGTTTTAATATTACATTTTACGGATAATCGGTGTTGGGCCGTAAAAAACAAGGTGTTTTCTAGCCAACGTTGCTTGGTGGGCGACACGCATAGGGTTTTTTTATTCATTTTCGCGGGGCGCAAAAAAATTGCTGTCAGGCCGCACTTTGCCTACCTGTGATTTAACTCTTCATTTCAATCAGGTGTTGTATTTTGAGTATTTTAAAACCAATTAAATAAATAAATAATATATAAATAAATCAATGAAAATAATGAATAATAATGAAATTACCATATAATATATAAAGGTAAACATGAGTAGAATGGTGATAATATGTTCAAATAAGATAGTAAAATATAATATTACATAGAAAAGTAAAAATTATAACATTGAAAAACATCACATGAGTGGGATGACAATCTGAGTAAATACATAAGTTGGATGGTAAAAATATAACATGGCTAGGAAAGACAACAATTATAGCAAGATGTACAATAATTTTGACAACTCTATTAAGAAATATATTAAATATATTTAAGCAAGCTGATATAAATTAAATATATGTGAATTTATAATTCTTATCTCACCACTTGAAGCAACCAGGCATAATTCCTCCAGGTGGCGCACAAACCAATGATGCCGGACGCAAACATGAACACACCAGTACCAATAAGGACATAGGGAACTTGCGAATAATCCGATGTTGATAACGCCAAGTACATTTTTAACTCAATCACGCCCCACAGACCAATCACAAGCATTGTTAATCCCATAATCTGTGATGGAAAGAACATTAGAAATTTTAATTAATTAATTCTGTGCTATATTCACCAGAAAAACTAAATTCACCAAATTAATTAAGGTGGGCATACATGCCCACAAATTAAATCTATATATATATATATATATATTATATGTATATAGGTTTATATGTTAAACCTAAAATATAAATTCTTAAATTTTTGTATGTTCTTAAGTTTTTAATTTTAGTTTTTTTATACACACATTTGAAGAGGCAACTGACAGTAATACATTTTACTCTTTTGGCAATATTATCATGTTGGTATATATTTTTTCTTGTTTCTCTTGTGTTTTTCATGTTTTCTCGACAAATTAAATGAAATGTATTTTTAATTTTTTGTTAATTATGGTTTAGGAAAACTATAGCCTACCCCTCTGAGTAAAAAAGAAATTAAATGAAAAGCTATACATTCAAAATTATAAATTTACATTCCATTGCATTAATTTTCCTTATCACGAACGAATACAGTATGAAACAGTTGGGAGATTTATAATTACTCTATACAGATGGTTAAAAAGTAAAGGTCTGGCCAATATAGGGAAACAAATAGATCCCAGGCGCTAAGTAAAATAATTTTACAATTAAAAGTTTTAAAATATAAATTGAGTGGCACAATAATGATCATATAGCATGTTGTCCTCTATGGTTACCTCCTAACGCTTCTAATAAACGATCATTATCCATCGTAAGAAATCTGACGTGTTCTGTGCTTTCTACGACCTCTATGATGAAAACAAAATGCTACGTTGCAGAAGATGAAGGGCGAACACACAGACTGTGTTAAGACGACGAACTTAAAAATAGTTACTCACGATCGCTTCCGATTCTCAATTTACTTACCATAAAAACCAGCGTAAAGAACGTCAACAGAAGCTGCACCAACCTCATGGTCGCTGTAGTCTGCATTCTTTTCCCCATGGTGATACCAGAGTAATTCCACCTAAAAGTATCTTTTGGAACTCCCAACAAAACTCGAAAACTTTTTGACACCGAGTACAATGGACGGAGAACGAACGTAAAACGAAAAAACCTCGTCTGTAAGTCTGTCCCTTTTTAATTTTATGCTTGGGAATTGTGGTCAACCTATTCTACTGAGGGCGCTATATGTAAATTTATTTATCTATTTCTGCATTTTCTGGAGCAGTCCAATCACATATAAGTACAGTACTATGGTAATGGTAATGGTTGGAGACTTATATAGCGCAAAGTACATGGTCTTTATGCGCAAAACAAGGAAAAACAAGAAAAAACAAAGCTATCCTAGGCTACACAAAAACTAAACGTCAGAAGAGACAGTCTATTGCAGAAGAGCCAACACCATTGCGATCGTTTTCCTGCAATTTGAGACCATTGGCAATTAAGCAGCAGTTGGAAAGATCACAACTCACAGATGCTCTAATAGTGTTGGGTAACTAAATAGCCTATCAAAAATATGAAAAAACAAAATAAAAAATTACAAGGTTTGAAAAAACGGTACGGTAAAGTATTATACTTTAATTGATGTTTACGAAAAGTAGATGCTTAACACTTTTTAATGTTCATTAACAGCGTTTTGGGAATCAATAATTTCTCTTTTTTTTTTTCTTTCCTTTTTGTATAGGGATGGGGGGTGGTGGTAATGTAAATGTATATCCTGATTATAACAATATCTAGCTCTGCAATATGCGCCCAGTACCATTTTCCAGCCCGTTATAGTTGCAGTGGCGTAACGACGAGTCATGGGGCCCGGGGCCTAAAAAATGTTGGGCCCCTTGCATATCAGCAGTGGTGTATCCCGGGAGTGCACACCCTC